TATTTAATCTTTTTGTTTTGTCAGATGGCTGTACCATTAAGTCCATAAAAGCAAGACATGAGACCAAACCTTTTTCTCTTTTTGTTGCACTTTGAAATATTAATTTCTTAACATATAGAGGTATATCAGGGAAAAATAAGAAAGACCTGTTTTTGTGGACAACAGTAAAAATTTGCTTTGATCTTTGATTTAAAAAAAAAAAAAATCTGTCTCTCAACTTCAGGGTGTAATTTTAATATTCAGTTTTAGGATGCTGTTACTAAAGCTATTAAATATTCACATTCTACTGTCTTAGTTTTGCTAAGGGCCGACTGTGAATTTACTAAGGGTTTGCTGTGAACATTTGAGCTGTTTGCATGTAGCAGTTGCGCACGCTGCCCCTTGCAAAAATAGATTTTACTGGCTGTCCTCAAATTGCATTAATAACTTATTGTTTAAAGACCTCTGTACATTGTCTAATGGCTTTCTTGTGCTGTCTCACGGAAGTTGATGAGAACACGGGTGTGATTGTGCTGCGGGTGAGCCGAGTGCCGTGGAGGGCACAGCGAAACCACGAGCTCAGGAGTTGGGGTAACCGGGCAAGCCTAGGTGCGGCGTTGGCTGCTGCCTGTGGGCGATGGGGCAGCTGGTGGTCACCACATCTCAGCCGGCCTCCTCGGGGTGCTGGTGCTGCTCCCGCGCGGTGCCTGCCTCTTGGCTCCAGTTGCCGAGTGACCAGCATATTTATTTGTTCTTGGATGAACATGTTTTATGGGGAGTAGATGTGTGTTTCACTGCTGTGAATGCACATCAAAGTGCATTTCTATTTTACTGAAAGTGCTGCCAGGGATAATGTTTTAATTCCCTAAATATTTTCCTTCTAGTATCAACTAAAGGGTCCTGCATGCCTTAAACACTTTCTGGTAAAGCACAACAGCAGGCAGATGTGCATATCATGACTATCACTGTTGAGAATTAAAACAAATTAATTGCAAGCTATTGAAAAACAGGGCTCATATGGGGAAGGGCTGTTAAACCTGTGAACAGAGCTGTAACTTTTTGTGACAGATTCTCGCAGGGCGCAGTGCTAAGCTATTCCCTGGTTATTAAAGACCTGATTGCACATGGGGATAGATTAGAGCAGAGTTGGACGGAAGGTAGCGCTGGCTGATTTGGGGCGGATTAGAGTGCTTTTTGAACGTAAGGCCACGTATGGTTAGCGGTCAGAGTTCCAGCTTAGTGTTCCCAGGCAGCAGCTTGATTTATTCAGCGGTGAGGAGCAGTGTTGTCAGGTAGAATAAATAGCATCTGCCTAACGTGCAAGATTTCAAGTAACGTCTGGACTTACCAGGGGCTCGGATGGCTTTCCTCCTGGCTTCAGAGGTCTACCATGTGCTGGGGAGTGTGGCCACTTCAGAAAAAGTCCAGCTGGCACATATGGGTTTGTATCTGGTTCACCGTTCGATAGAGAAGCAGCTCCTTCTGACAAGGAGATGTATCTTCTACTAAGAATGGTTATCATTGCTTGAACTAAAAATTAAAAAATGCTCTTTGAATTCAGGTCTGGTTTGCTTTAAATGGTTATTCTGTGAGGAAAAAAATAGACTGGTATTTCAATATTATTAAAACCCATTAAACTACAGGATGTCTGTTTGGATGGGTTTAGACTGTCGAGAATAAGTTTGCATAACTCTAGAAACAAGTGACTTTGTAGTTTCCAGGGTTTTTTCATTTGAAAGTAAAGCTTTAAATATGCAATGCATAAAAATAATATTTTATTTGACTTTCCAGAATAATTAACATTCTTTATTCTTGTAACACATAAACTACATTGTATTCTAGTTTAACTTAATTCATTTTCAGACTTTTGGCAAAAAAGGCACAGCTAGTCCTCACATTAGAAAAATACCATATAATGGAAGCCATATCTTGCTTTCTCAAATTTTAATATATGCCTGCATCAAGGAGCTGCTTCATTTACTTAGTATTCGTGATTTATCTAGAGGATTAAATGTTTTTCTGGAACCGGTTTTCCTATTCCGTAGTGAAAGCATTCTTGAATTGCTTTTCTGGAGCTTTATTCTGAATTGCCTCTGTTCAATAACTTCAACTTATTCAGATGCTAATGTGCAGTGTCTATCTCTCGTGAATGTCTGGCTAGAGACCGAAATTAGCATATTAGGAATAGATTTGAAAAAAATTGTTTCTTTGTGTGCTTATATTTCATAAATAGCGTAAAGGAGAGGATGGCGTATTTTATAAATGGTTTCCAGAGTTGAAATCCAGTGGGCCTTTGGATGGTGTGGTATTTCTATTACCATAGTCTTTTCTTTATAGTCGATTCTTTCTGTTATTAACACCTACACAGTAGGGATGATGCAATGAACTTTCTTACATGTTTACTATTCTTATTTAAATGTTTGCATTCTCACGGGATTTTCTTAGGACTGGAAAAGTGCAAGCAGAAAAGATGGTGCTTATTTGGGCACTAGACTTATTGCAGGTGGCATTTGAGAAATTGAAACGTTGAGATATTTGGCAGGAACTGGATTTCTTCCGCATGTTTCTATTTGTAAAAAAAAAAAAAAAAGTTTTTTAAAATCTATTCCATATAGCTTTGATTCTGAAGTCTACCTGAAAATGTGTATGTGAAATGCATCTATAATGATTACAAATGCGATGTAGAAATATTTAGGCAATTGAAACAGTGAAGAAGAAACTGGATCGCCTTTTATGATTTCCCTCCCCTCGTGGTTTCGTTGGCTGCAATTACTGATTGTGGCCAATTTTCTGCCCCCCCCCCCCCCTTTTTTTTTTTTTTTTTTTTTTACATTAAAGAAATGTAGTTCTCTCCTGCCTTGCCTTTTACTAGCTGTCTTCAACACATCGTAGTGAAACTAGGTGGGTTTTTTTGATGGCAACTGAGCTGATGATAATAGAAAGACTTATGTGAGAATTAGTTATTTTTATAAGACTTTTATTAATAGCTGGTAGGCTTAGATGCAAAGAAGCAGATTTTCTGTGTTGAGTTAGCTTGTTGCTAAACCTCTTCCTGAGCTCAAACCCTGTTGCAATCGATCTCTCTAATAGTGAAATAAAAACATGAGTGCAGTTTGTATGCCAGGCTGATGTAGCAGTTCAGATTTGTGTATCCGCACGCACTGGTACGTCCTTTTCCTATGGAGAGCCTTATTTCTGCGCTGGAGGACACTGCTTGTCTGTTTGTTAGGCATGAACGCAAGGCAAACTTGCTCTAAACTCAGTTCCAAAGTGAAAGGCTCAGTCTCCCAAGAGAAGGGGGGTGGTGGTGTATGTATGTATATATATGTAGTAAGTTTTAGAGTCTTATTTTTGCTTGAGTTAATCTTTCCTCTTTAAGGTTCTGAGTTTTCCATCCCTGGTGGTGTAAAGGCCTGTCTTCTGGTACTTTGTGCCTCTTCAGATACATACAAGTTAAAACAGCCACAGTTAACATGTGGATACTGTATAACATCTGTTTCTGGCTTGATTTATGGTACTTTTCTGGCTCATCTTAAAGCAGTTCCAAACTCGCCTATTCATTTGGTATGTGTGATGATTCAGGGAAGGACATATATTTATGGACATAATAACAGACAAATTTATTGCACTCATGCACATCTGTCATGCTTTCAGAAGTTTTGGTTCTGTTCAGCTCAACCCGAGTCCTCTCATTCCCCCAAGAAAGACAACAACTCAGCAAAACCACCACTTCTGATGCAGTGATTTGATGTGGCGTTTGGCTTGCCAACAAAAAGGGCTTTGTGCGAGGGAGCGGGGGAAGTTGTTCCAGCGACACCGGGCTGTTCGTCCCATGTTTGAGTAATGTTTAGGGAGCTGCTCTGACCGAGGCTGACCCAGAGGCGCTTTGGAAGGAGCAGTAGGCTTGTTCTCCTTCATTGACGGCCTCGGGGCTGTGTGGGTCTGCTGGAAGACGTATTCTGACCGCGCTTCTGCGGTGGAGATGAACTGAGCAGGGCCACCACGACCTGCACTGTGGGGTTTCAGCTGGCGCCGAGTGCACTGCAGCTTGTGCCGTTCGCTGTGGGAGCTAAGGAGGTGTCAGAAGGCGAGAGAATAAATCCCAGCGCTGGCAGAGAGGAGTGGGAGGGTGCATTAGTCTTTGTTGTGATACCGAGACTAGCACTGAAGAGAGAAGTGGTGAAGAGAAGGGTGATAAGAAGAAATAAAGACAGACCGAGATAGTATTTGGGAGCCAGCCAGAGTGTAAACAAATCAACTGGGAGGTGAATTTGGAGTGATATCAAGTGAGGAGAGGCTGTGAATGGATAAAAACAGGAGAAGGTAATTTAAGAGCATGGATATATACTGAGATCAAGAGGAAATGTTATCTTGATCCTAGTGTTTGGAAAACTGTAGGAGGGAAAATGTGAGATGAAATGGAAGAGATGGGTCTATTTTAGTCAAAACATAGAGAAACAAAGCCTTATCATCCCGGATGGGATGGGTGGATAAAAGGAAGTCTTCACAGTGTGTGCTTGAAATTTGGTAGCAGGATAGAGAGGGTGTAAATGTGTGTGGTAGGGAGGAGGGATTTGTGTATTTATAATTCCCTTAAGCAGTTCTAACAGTGTCAAAAGCACAAGATACAAACTAAAGGATTACGGAGCCCAAAGGAGTATAAAGTTTGAATGATAAACTCACCATTCAAAGTTTGTGGAGTGCTGGGATTTAAAATTACAGTACTGTGTATAATATTAATATAAAAATATTTAAATGAAATAAGCATGGAACAACTATAAATTGTTTTTCTTTTCTTTCCTTGCTTCCTTTGTTGTGAAGTTGTTTTGACAGATATTTTTTTTTCTAAATATTATTTTCCTATGTGGAGAAGCTGGTAGTGAAGAAGAAGAAATAGCATGTCTCACACAGCAATGACTAGTTTCTGTCATTAAAGGTGCAAGTCAAAAATTTTATGTGCTTGGCAGATGTTGGAAAGCCAGTAAGTCATTTAGTGGAATTTATTTTGTTCTGCTTCACAGTTGAAAGATGCATGAGTGTTATGCAGTCTGGGACTCAGATGGTTAAGCTGAAGAGTGGAACCAAAGGGCTAGTTCGTCTCTTCTACCTGGATGAGCACAGGACCTGCATCCGATGGAGACCATCCAGAAAAAGCGAAAAGGCAAAAAGTAAACTTTTAATATTTGTTTTCATTTCTTGGGCAGTTCAGTATTAGAATGTGAATTGCAGAGGGAAAACTGGACAATATTTTTTTTTTGATCAATTGAATGAATGCTTTTTGATGCTTATTTTAAATGTGATGTGATACTTACATGAAGGTTTTCAAGAGTGTGAATAGAGTTTACCCACCTACTAAAAGTTCAGGATTATGAAAGGAAGGGGAGTATAGTTCAGTCAGATGTCATCATCTTCCACAGGTTTCTAAGAATTATAAGCAAACTGAAGAGTGACTTGATAACAAACTATGCTGAGCTCTTTTCAATGTATACGTCACAAATTTAAATACAGAACCTGGAAAAGTTTAGATTAAGGTTCCTTAATCTTAACTGTGATAATTTTCTTTAGGCGTTATTACATCTTGAAGTTGTTGTGTAGCCTTATTTCTCATTGACACTTTCTGCTGCAGTGTTTTAAATTGGAAATTGAAATTAGTGGTTTATTGGATAAAATAAGGACTATAAATTCACAGAACTGTGATGGATGCTTGAGATTAAAACCAAGCAGTTGGGAAGACCGCAAATAGTGACAGCTGATGTTTTTGGGCCAGTGTGTGGTGGCTAAGAGCCATTGCCTTGGTGTTTGGAGCCATGTTATTGGGGGCCCTGTTATCTTACCATAGGGATGCATGTTCCTCTCTTCCTACTGTAGAAAGCATGGCTGTGGTGGGAGCGATCCCTTTGGAGCTATGCAGTGTTTCACTGATTGATGGAAGACATTTGGCGTCCATCTCCTCATGCTCCCCTTTGGGTAGCCTACAGTCCTCTGATGTAGCAGGGGGCATTCAGAGAGCTTTGCTGTAACCTGCTGTAACCTGCACTGGCCTGCCTTCTAGATGTCTGCACAGTGCACATGGCACGGCCAAAGCAAGGTTAAACCTAGAAATTAAAAAGCCCTGTTGGGTGTGAACATGTAATATTAAAAAACATTTGATGATTTTTAGCCTGAATAATTCGAAATTGCTCAAAAGCAGAAATGGGGTAGATATCCAAGCATGTCAATTTTTGGTTTCCCTTTTCCCCACAGTTGTCATCGATTCCATTTACAAAGTCACCGAAGGCCGGCAGTCTGAAATCTTCCATCGCCATGCAGAGGGGAACTTTGACCCAAGCTGTTGCTTTACCATTTACCATGGCAACCACATGGAGTCACTGGATCTGATTACATCTAACCCAGAGGAAGCTCGCACCTGGATCACAGGACTGAAGTATTTGATGGCTGGAATAAGTGATGAGGACTCGCTCGCTAAGCGACAGAGAACACACGATCAGTATCCTTTTATGAGCCTGAGCTCTGGCTTTTAATTCAGTATTTCTGGCTTGTTTTTCAGTGACCTCAGCTTAGGGTGTCCTTTCATCTCCTGTGAAGTGACCAAAAACCTTGCCACTTGATTGCAGTGGAAGCCTGAGTTACAGGTTTGACATGGACACTTACCTGTGCAATAAAACTTCAGACATGGCTTAGGGACTGGATTGAACTCCACCGAAGTCAGGGGATAATCTTGCATTTTGTTAGTGAAGTTCTTATTGAAGGGTCAAAACAGTCATTTCTCGTTATGTCAATAAGTATTGACCCCAGCATGTTTTCAAGGTTTCTGTCATCTCCTGTTTGCCCAGCTGTGCTTTTATTCTTCTGCTGCAAATTGCGAGGTCCATGAGAAGATGCTGTTTTCAAGATATTGCTAATTGAAAACTTGAATTTGTTAGCCTCTGCACAGGTGAAACCCTAACGTTTTTGGGAGTCTTTCAGTAAACTGACTTGTAACTGCTAGCCATCTCTGTTTCTCTTGATCATTGTATGTCAGATATCTGTGTGTACTGCTCAGCCTCCATTGATTATCAGGAGCACAAATCTTTAAAGCTCCTTAAATGTTTGTTGTAGCCTAGTAACCAAAATGAACCTCTTGTAAAGATCGTGTCCATTGCATATTTTCTTGCACAAGTGCTGACTAGTATGTTGAATACAAAGAAAACACTTCCTCCTAAACCAAAAAAAAAAACCCAACCAACCAAACCACAAAACAAACCTGTCTTGATTAAAATTGTAACTTGTCTCTTCTGCCACATGGAAAGCTTCAGTGGTCATTTGTGAATAGTCCTTCTGGAGAATAGATACGCTTTTAGGTATTTTAATGTATATTTTCAGTGTTTAATTCTGATACAAGATAGGTACAGATCCATTTTGGGGTTATATTGCCTGGTCTGTTGCACACATACTCAGCTTGCTATATTTATCCATGACTTTTCTGAGCTGCACATATCTGCTGTATGTTCTCTACTGGTGAAACATCACTTCAATTCTTGTTTGCATTATCAAATGTGGCAGCTGGGAGACTGCCGACAAAATGACCCTGTACCACTTCCAGCTAGTGTAAGAACTTAGCAAAAGCTGCAAAGGGATATATGTGCAGAGAGGGGGTAAAAGGTGCTGGTTAGAAAGTGGAGAAGTTCAAGCAGAAAGAAGATACTGGAGCAAGCCCAGCAAACTTCGAAAACTTAAAGTACGTTCTCAGAAGAGAATCTGGTAGCAGAAAAGCTGGTATTGTGAACCTAGCTGTAAATAGTGGTTATAAACCAGTACCAGGTTTAAGCATTTGAATGAGACTGTAGCAAAGGCAGGGGGAAAAACTGGTTCAGTGCCACCTCAAATCCATGTGAACCTGCAGAACATCCCAAAAAAGGTTATGTTGGAGATGAGCCATATGCTGTGTGAAGAATCACCTCTTGTTTTCTGAATTTGCCAGCTGCTGGCTTTCTCTGATGCCATTCTGTCCTTGTGAGGGGAGAAACAACAAATGTATGAACACTATCCATTTTCTCTGTGCAACTGAGGATTCTATGGAGTTGTTGCTGCCTGTGGAAGGTGTGGCACAAGGTGAGGGCAGAGATATTGGAGAGAAAATGGTGGACAAAGTAGTGGTCCAGAGATGGAAGAGTTAGAAATATACATATGAAAGAACTGTGTGACAGTCTTGGAGGAGAGAGCACGGAAAAACAAGAGTGGTTAATTTTTAATAAGGTTCTTATGGAAACCACAGGCTGATAATAATTACTTGGGCTGATTTCAGAGTCTTCCTTATTCCATCCTCTTGCACTAAATTAATGTCATCCCTAATAGAGATGGCTATTAAGCTTGCTTCCTTTGAGTGGTGTCATGAAACCGGTAGCCCTCAGCTATAACTCCATGGAGGTCAACAGCCTTAGTTGCACTGGGTGGGAGATACAATAGCAAATTATACCAGAAGGCGTACAGTGGTAGAAATGCTTTGGTTTGGCACCTGTGGCGGGGGGAACAATGATGTTCCATTGTTCCATCATGTAGCACCAGATGTTTGCCAGCAATGACTTTATTTCACAGTGTATCTATCCCAGTAATTCTAATGCAGGCTGTGGGAAGACTTAATTCAAATGCTTTGCCCGGATGCGCTGAAATGAAAATGTTTGTGAAGGCTGGATTGAATAACGCTCAGTTCTTCTCCCTGGAAGATGTTAAGGTCCTCTGCTAAGGAGGATTATCCCCCTGCCCAGAAGAGCTGGGGCAGGGTCTTGTTCTCCTGAGTTCGAGTCTTGTCCCTTCCTTGCCCAACTGCTCTGCCTCCCTCCTCGAGGAAATCACCTTCTTGTACCTTTCCTTGACACGTTTGTAGCTGGGTCAAACAGACCTTTGAGGAGGCTGACAAGAATGGAGATGGCCTCCTGAATATTGAAGAGATCCACCAGCTGATGCATAAACTAAATGTTAACCTGCCCCGCAGGAAGGTCCGGCAGATGTTTCAGGTTGGTGGCTTCTAACACACAGCATTGTTGTGGTAAGATAGTGCCAGTTACGGTCTATTTTTGGACAGATCCAGAACAGGGTCTACAAGTTGGGACTTAAAACCCTGTCCTTTCCAACACCTCACAGACTTTTTCCAAGTCTTACCTCTTTGTAGACAGAGATGCATCAGAACATTGTTTTAACAGCAAGAACCATGTAGAAGAGAATTTATTAATATTACTTTTTCAGATGCATTATTGTTTTCATCTCTGTGAACTGAATTGTTCTATGCTGGCATTGATGGACAATGAAGTTACTCTGTTCCTATTGAAATCTTTTTTCATTTCCTTTATGGAAAATTATTTAATAGAAACTTGCTTTAGGAAAGTAACTACATTTCTTAAAAACTTCCTCTTATTTAGGCAGAATCAATTTTTTTATTCTGCTGTCTGAAAACAGTTACCGTTTTCCACCAGCCCCAGTGTTTACTGCAGGAAAGGAAAGGGAGCGCAGAATAAAATGTTCTTAACTCTTCAAAAACAGTGGCAGCCAAAAGCTGGATTGCTATGAAACGGGGAAGTCGAAGAATCTTCTGTGGTCAAAAGTGCTTTTTGTCTGGCATAAAATCTGCATTAGAGGTACATCTGTGTGGTATAAGCGGAAACTGGTGAGGTTGTGTTGCAGAGGTGAATTCGGGTTGTACTTGTTCCCACAATTATTCCCACAAATTAGAAATGTCATTTGAGATATGTAGTAGATATAACATGATTTAAAATCCCATTTGACACCAGATAGCTAGGAATTATTTTCTTAGCTTGCTGGCTGTGATCTGAGTTTATGGTTCGGATGACAGTAGCACTAACAAGGTGTAATGATATGCGGCTCCCTGAGATCCTTGAGTTTTGCTGATACTGTTGACTGCTGCAGGAGAGGCAGAGTTGGGAAGCTATGTACTGAGAGGAAAAAAATACAGTTCACTCTTCACTTTTAAACTGTCTAGGAATGAAGTAGGGCACTCTAGCAACTTTGTATAATCAGAGGCAACTTTTGGTTAAAAATAAGCTGCTTGTGTTTATTGTGTTGCAGTTGCTGCCAGCCTATACCTGAGTTAATATCCTGGACCTCGCAGGCAGGGTTAAAGTTACTAAGGTTGAATATAAAAGGACTTTTGAAAGTTTGTTTACTGTTAGCCATTCAGGGCTCGATGCTAAAGATCTTACCCTACAAGCGAGAGTGCCAGCAGTCCTATGGACTTCCAGGACTTAACGCAGGATAAAGGGAATGGCAAAGTAACCCTGGGACAAATTGTTGCCCTACATCTAGCTACTCTGCACTGTTCTTGGCACTTTATCTGCTTAGGTGGTTCTGTTTGCGTGACTTGGTGTTACAGTTTTGGACATGGCGCAGACAGCCCCCAGCCTGGGGGAGCACCCGTGGCTCCACAGGGGAGGCCAGGCTTCTGGAGCCTGCCTTCTGGTCCTGGGTCTGGAAGTGGAGTATGGGGCTGCTGCTTTAGTTGTCTGTACATACCAGGAGTCACTGGTGTAAAGATCAGTTCCTGTTCTAAGAGAGGCTTCAAAGTTAAATGGATTGGGTTGTGCGAAGGGAAAGTAAAACTGGATCCTTGGAAAGCAAAGCAGTCCAGAGATGTAGTCATTGCATCTGCTGTTAGACAAGCTCCTCTTCTATAGAAGTGAGGTTGGGCACCAACTGAAGAGCTTTCTTGAGAAGGAAGAAGTGATGGCGAGATGAGGATACCCTCCATTTGGAGAAGAACTTGTATTTGGTGTACCAGTGTAGAGACAAGGCAACAGGTTCAAAGCCACGGACTCTGCACAGAAGGTGTTCTGACCTGAACAAAAAGATGTGCCATTTTTAACAGAATGTGACTTGGGAATGGCAAGGGGGTTTATAACTACGGAGAAAAAACATTATATATAGCTATGAACTAAGGACATTACTCATGGGAACAACAACACACTTCTAAACATTTATTTCACTTTGTCTCCATTGTCTGCTCACAGCCTCAAACTTAGCAAGAGTTGTAGCTTCCCTGAAGGTCTTTTTTCGTGGAGACCTACATAATGTTTAACAGCAGTTCTCCAGAATATATTCTTTGTTTTGAAAATCCAAAGCAATCCTCTTAGGCAGATGTTCACAGTAAAAAGCTTGTATTAACACGCATTAAGTACTGTTTTCTTCTCTTCCTACCTCTGAGGATAAACAAAAACTGCCATCAAGACTGAGGCTATCGGGCATATATTTTGGTGTGGAGTCTTATTGCTGCTGCAGACTTGTCACCCCTACGGAGTGCTGACAGGGGGCTGAGAGTGTTGCAGTTTGAATTAACGTAAATTTAAGACTGTGATATTGTCCTGAATGTTTTAGAATGTCAGACTCTCTCATTAAAGGAAGCCACAGGGTGAAATTATTATGTTCCTTGCTATGTTTTAATCCAGGATAACTGCAGGGCATACAGGAGAGTAGCAGAGATCAGAATAAAGCCCAGGGTGAGCCTCTTTACATGGGAAACAAATTCAAAACTAAAGATGGAATTGAGACTTTCATAGGGAACCTGTGGCTTCAGCGTAGTAAGTGTTTTCATCAAAAAATCCAATAGATGGTATCATAGTTTTGCAGCTATTTTAGCCTACTAGGATGTGAGTCTGAACAGAATCTTGCAGAGTAGGGTTTATTAAATTTCTGTTCATGTACATAAATCCTGTTCTGCTTTGTTGCCCGAATTCACCTGTGTTTTGCATGCTTACCGGAGTGTCTTTATCTCTTAGGAAGCAGACACAGATGAGAACCAGGGAACCCTAAATTTTGAAGAATTTTCAGTGTTTTACAAGATGATGTCCTTACGTCGAGATCTCTACCTACTGCTTTTAAGCTACAGTGACAAGAAGGATCACCTCACTGTTGAAGAACTTGCTCAGTTTCTAAAGGTGGAACAAAAGGTAAGGGAATACTGTGAGCCTATATATATACACATTATATATATATTATTACATTACACATTATATATTATACACTCTAAATTAGGATGATTCATGATATGTTTTAAAGCTAGAAACGCATGACAAAAGAAGAGCAAACTATTTCTGATTATCTACAAATGTGCCTGTGCATGGCTTAATGCAGTAACATGTTGAGATGAATCTTTGTGTTCGCATGTCCTTTCTCGTAAACAAAGTTGAATCCTACAATACTGTTATACATCCCAAGAGTTCCCAACTGTCAGTAGCAGTAATAATTATAAGGACTGCTGCTTTTGTTAGTGAGACAGCAGTTTAAATATCGACAAAGAACAACCTCTGAAATGTGGCCTGAATCTTTATTAGAATTTTAAGGGAAGATTACACTTTTGTGATATAATACAAAGATGGATATCATGCCAATCTGGCTGAAGGAGAGATGTCCAGGGTTCAATCCTTTCTTTTTCCCTTCTGCTTCTTTCCCAATTTTTCTTCAGGAAAGTCTGTTTTCCAGGCAGTTCTCACAGATGTGTGGGACTTGTGCAAAGGAAGTTTCACATCTGGAGGTTGCGCTTCTATCTGAAGCTCCTCAGAGAGAAGCAATTGAGAGAGGTGAGGTTCAGGGAACCACAGGAACAGACATGCTGATAAGGAATTTAAGAAAAAATAAAAATGGAAAGAAGCATAAGTAACTTAAGAAGCAAAGCTGGGTCAATATCAGAGATTTTCCTCCCAGTATGCTTATGAGAAAACTTGCTGAATAAAAAAATCTCTAGCTATTCCTATGGATGTTGCTCTAGTGGAGATTTTCATGTCTGTCTTGGAAAGAGACTAAATTACTACAAAAATTGTCTGTGGAACCCATGGAGAGAACTTGTACACCAGACAGTGAGGAGCACAGAAGGAACCTTGTGATCTCTAGGACTCTTGTCTGCTTCTGGTAATTGGTCCTGGATTATTTGCTCAGCCTGTGCGTCCTTTCAAAGTATTGCTCCAAAACAACCTCACGAAAATAAATGCTAACATCCAAACCTACACAAGCTTCCCTGGTATAGATGCTGTGTTTTGCCTGCACTCATTGGATAATCTCCTGTGCCATTCTGGGATCCTGCCTGCAATGACTCCTTTTTCTGAGTTATCCCTAGCATAAAATATCAACAGTCTGTGCTGGTTTGTTGCTGAGTTTCCGCCTGTTGGCCATTGTGGCAATTCCCTGGCATGTACAACTCCCCAGTTCTTCCTTCCTTCCCACTTGAAACACGGAGCGCTGTTGCATCACCGATCTCGCTGCGATAGCCTCAACACAGATTCTTGCAAGCAATCTGGTCCTGGCAATTCTGCTAATTACTTTAAAGCACAAAATGTTTTAATCTTTTTCCCTTTATGCTAATGCCCTAAGTCTTCTGAACTCACTGCTTTTTCCTTTGTTTCTATTTTAATCACTGCCTTCTACTTGGGTGCTCTTCAGTGGAGCACCCTTGACAGCAGCAGCCGCAAGGTTGACACTGATGAGAAAGCAAAGAAATGCTCCAGGGAGGACATGTTCATGGAGATGCTGAAGTGCCCAGGAACAGCTGAAGAGCAGTGCTATGAGAGGGCACTCAGGGACCTGGAGCAGGAAGAAAAACATGTGAAAGGGGCAGAAGAGCTGTCTTTTTGGGTGCACAAGAACATTATGAAATTACTGATGCAGCAGAAGAAACAAGTTCACTGTCAAGTCTGGCATACTGAATCCTCTCCTCTGTCTACATACTACTCAAAACGCTGAATGTGGAAGGGGCTTTCAGCTATAAACGCTCTGCTCAACATTATTCCAAAACCAAACAATAAAAAGAGTAAAAGCATGATCTCCTGTAGACGAACCTCTCAGCAGTGTAGTTTAGAAGCACCTTGCGCTTTCTTTGCATCTTCCCTCTGGTCTTCTCACTTCCCAGTATTAACAGTGTTAGAGCACATTTACCCTTTAATGTTTTTGGAACGCAGATGTGGTAACAATGTCCGCAGATAAGATTGCCTTCAAAAGCTGATAATGGTTCAAATCATAATGCAGTTCTCAAGTGCCTTCCACCAAACAGCATTTCGCTTTTGCTTGTCTGGCTGCTTGGAAATCTGTGGATGGTCTCTCCAACTCCATCTGCTACTCTTTTGGCAAGACTCTTAAATATTCTACAGCTTGTGGATATAGCAAAAGGGGTTTGGGTTTTTTGTTAACTTGCTAAGATGGACTCTTTTCTTAGGAGAGCTCCCCGTTGCCTTCACCCCAGAGCTTGTGAAACAGATTGTTTCCACTTAGGTGCAGTTAAACTCAGCACATTGCTATTGAGATTGCAATTATATGGCTTCAAATGTCAGAACAGCAGAAAACAGGCTGTTTTCCTGTAGTGACTGGTGGTCCTGCAGTCCTCTTAGCACAAGTGGCTGAGAGGGAGGAACACTCCTGGATGTCCAGTCACGTCTGCATACCTGAGTGTTGACCCTTTGGGATTGCCCTCTCCTAATAAACCAGTATCAGTGTCTCAGTTGGTTCTACCCAGAAACTGATCTGCTAAATGGCAGATGAATTCCACAGCAGGATCTCCAGGCTCTTTTGACAGCAGCTCTTGTCTCATCCTTGTCTTTGAGTAGTGGTGCTTGGGTGAAATAGGCTCTGCAAACTTCATCTTCCCTGTTAAGGAGCAGCTTTGTGGTTGCTGGCCGTTGTGGACCTGCACTGTAGAGTGACTGGCCTCAGTCTGCCCTGGTCTTGAGAGCCCCAGAGCGATGCTGCCCTGTGTTCAGGGGTCAGCCAGCCTGCGGCTGTTGGCTGATTGCTGTCTGTCCTTCCCTTCTCCTTTCTGCTGTATCCGTATCACATTAAGTACTTTTATTTCAGTCGCAGCAGAGACCTCTTCGACACAGTTACAAGGCTGCTTTGGTGTTACAAACCTGAAATGTTTAGTTCTGGTTTCCTGAGGTTTCCCATGTGCCTGCTTGCCACCTGCTGCCTTACCATGGATCAGTTACTTTGCAATACAGTTTTCATCTGTCCTGAGAAAAAGGGCAGCCTGCTGAGATCATGCCTCCAGCAGTGTTCTCTGCATGCTCCAGGGACGTACCGCATATTGTATGATGCGCCCTGTCGTACTCCCTAGTGACGGGAACCAGATGGAAATGTTAATGCTACGCCATTGTATTGGTACCAAACCAGTATCTTTTAAAAAGGCTGCTTCTGTACGCAGCCCAAATGAAACTGGTGGCAAAATTAATGCCCTCGTTCATTTTAATTGAACTGAAGAGGAAGTAGTTTTATAACAATTACACCCTCGGAACATGCACATATAATTATGTAAAACTTTTCCTTAATTATTCAATATGGGTTAGTGCATTTTGAGTTAAACCTGCTTGAGAGAGTAAGTTTACTCTTATTACTTGTCTACGCTAATTATACAGTGCCGCAGGAATAGCTAGTGATGCGGTGAATAGTGAAAATGTGACAAAAAGTGCTAAGTGAGGATTAAATACACTTTTAGAAAATGAATGTTTTGAAACAACTATACCTGTTCTCTTGGAAGAAAATTTAAAGGAGTATAATGAGATAGTATATGCCAGGGAATGTCGGTATGTTAGGCTGTGATGTGAAACAGTATGTACTGAAAGATATCAGGACCTAATATCCCAAAAGGAATAGGAAATTATAAGAACATTCATGTTGGTACGTGGACTTCGAAAAGAGGAGAGATTGTGGAGCTTGTTAATATCAGACAAGGAAGACAATACCAGATCATCATTCCTGGTCAATCCTTGCTGCTTTCTGCAAAAAACCAAAACTTATTGTGGCAACAGAAACTCTCAATTGGAAAGCAAGCTGATGCCTTCCTCCTTCTCTCATGCTTACACAAAAGGATAATCAGTATAACTGATTTATGGAATGAGTCGATATGTCATGACACTTTACATTGACATCTTGCATTGAAATTGGAAGAATGTCTTTGCCTGGATTATTTATATTTTGATTTTTCTCATAGTATGATTAACTGTGAACAACTAAAGCCTAAACCATCAGAGCACTGGTGGCACACTGGTGGGCTGGCATCCTGTTTAGGAATACCTGTCACAAGCATTGCGCTTCTCTTCTAACTTGTCCTTCCTTTTGCCCCCTCCCTAACTTCTCTTCTACTTTAGATTCCTTTCTCTTACTTCCTTTCCCATGAGAATGGGAAATGAGAACAATTCCCATTCTTAACTTATGAGTCTTTATAGAAGAGGGCTCCCCATAACCTGGCACTGCAGCGCGCTACAACTTCAGATGACGTTAGATTTTTGGCAGTAGATTTGTCTGACCTGCTTCCAAGGAGACAGGTGAAATCAAAGTGATTTCTCCCTTCTTTCTCCCATCTCTTTGCTGAAGATTAGGGCTAATGTTGCTTTTTTGGGTAGTTTTGTAGGATCTTATCTTAGGAACATTAATTGCTAGTTCGTTTACTTAAAAACCAAGATCTTAGTGGTCATTCAAAGGCTGCTACTCTTTAAAAGAACATATCTGCATCAAAATAAAAGCTTTTAACCTGGAATACAGAAAGTAACCTAAGAGATTCTAGAAGCTCCACTCTTGCCCATCTTCAGTAATCCTTGTATCTAAATAGTCAGCCATCAATAATGATCGTTACTATTTGATATTATTTCTAGTGCAATACTTTAATTAAAACAAATTTAGATTAGTAGCTGAAGTCAACATCTGTCTTAACCTTCAGTTAAAAAGCACAAATCGGTGTACTTTTCCCTAGCAGATGCAGCTTTGGACTAGATTAGACATTTTCGTTCCTAGAGCACACAAGTACCCTGCCACTCAGACATCAAGGAGCCATGTGGCATAATAAAAAAAGTGAATTCTAGCCAGCTTGTGCTGAAGAAGGGCCTGCTATGAGTAGTGTTTGCAATCAAACAGCAACATCTACTTGAGCTAGGATAATCAGTTATTTTTCTCTACTGAATTGTTCTCATTCCTATTATCCTGTGTAATTCCTGCAGGCGTCTCATATTGTTGGCTTAGCTAGGAGATATAAATAAAATGTTTGGAGAGTGAAATGGGCTGAGCCGTGCTTTCCCCATGCAAGAGAAAAAACAGAGGGAAGAGTGAAGGGGAGAAAGGCTGCAAAATATATCCAAGTTTTTCGGCTTGGGTCACCGTATGAGTTGAGCTGCTCACTTGCTTCCCTTCTGTTACTGTACTTCTAATGTGGACGTGTCTATTTTTTCCCCTGGTAGTTTTTCATATTTAGGCTGTAGCCATTTAGGTGTTATGAGATATGGTCAGTCATGACACCCACGCATCTCAGGAGGAACTCGGCACTTGGCAGGATCAGGCCCTTGGAGAAGACCGGATCAAGAGAGTCAGCCCTACTTCTAGATTTCCGTACAGCTGAATGCTGATGCTGGGAATACTGAGTTATAGCAAATAATGGAAGGCACAAATTCATCAAAGGCTACAGACAGAGCAGAGTAAATGGAATTGGTTTTGCCATCCGAAAGAGAATTCCATTAGTAAGAGAACAGTTCACAGAGGGACCATTTTCGGATTTAAACAATAAATATTATGTAATCTGCAGGATGACTAACCTCCCTCCTGCATTTGCCTGAAGCAATCATGTTAACAGAGATGACACGCTATCTAAGAGAGGGGACTGCGTGTTCTTTTGCTTCCAGACTGCTCAACATGTCAGGGTGTTTGAGCTGACTTTGGCAAAGGATGCAGAGTACAAACAGTAAACAGGATAATAGTAAAAATCAGCAGCAAAAGGTTTTAGTGTCATCATTGCCATCCTGTGACATTATTAGTGGAGGAAACAAAATACACCCGGTCTTAGTTCTCATTTTGGTTTCCTACAGCTCGAGGGGCAGAGGGTGAGAAAAGATGAGATGAGTGGTGGAAGCTACTTCTTTCTTTTAATTTTAGAAGAAATATAAGTGTATGGTGATGCCCTGGCCCCATTAGCCAGTTAAAACTTCAGTTGTGGGCTAGTTGAAGCTGATGACAAAACTCTTATTTGTTTCAGAAGAACTGCTGGTTTTCATTTCAGAATCTAATTATCTATCTCATAGCCTGTATATTACCGTGAGCTCTCTTGGAACTAATGAAATCACAGAACTGGAAAATGCATGAAAATGAAATCAAACCCTGCCAAATCTTTTTGCATGTTTAAGCAGATTATATTAAAGAATATAACTTCATAGTTCTCATTCAGCACTATTGCTCAGTACAACCGTTATTAAGTGTGCTTAACAGCTAATTTTCATCTTTAAACTAAAATGACACAAGTGATTTTAAGTGATTACAACCTCTCCTATTTTTCTCCTCAAAGGTAAGAGGTGTGACGCTTGTGCAGCGCTGATAAAAATCTTAAAGTCCCTTTACAGTAGTGTTACTGACTGTCTTATTCATATTTGTCTAAAGTTAATGTTTGATCATAAAGTTTTACAACTGGACTCAGAAGCCTAAAGTAGATTTTGACATGCTGGTGATGAAAAAATAAGTGCACCAACACTGTTGGTTTTGTGCAGATGAATAATGTGACGCCAGAATATTGTCTTGACATCATACAGAAGTTTGAAGTATCAGAAGAAAACAAGAAGCAAAACGTTCTTGGGATTGAAGGTAAAGTTCTTGATTTTAATATTAGTTTTGTCTTGATATACTGTAGTGGAATAGAAAAGCTTTAACAGCATTTTTTTGTAGCTTATAATATTTGACTGCGATAGAAAGTTACATGGAAGATCAGCAGTCAGCAGTGTAGGTGCGTTTTTATGAGACATGGGAGAGACGAGAGTAGGTGGGGTGAATTAGCAGCTGGTGTTATACAGCAATACATCATAGCCATCATCATACGCTAATGTGAATGCCTTAAGCTTGCCTGAACTTATTGCTAACTGTGTATTTGTAAAACACAAACATAAAACATTCTATACCATGTATTTTATACGATGGCCTGTTCTAACTGGAGTAATAAATGCAAAGTTTTCATTCTGTCTCTGTAGATCTAGAATCACTCCTGTACAATCGTTCGATTTATCATTACGTGAAATGAAATATGCATAGTTGCATTTTCTTTGGGTTTCAATACCTTATTCACCTTGTTTGCTAAAACAATTGTTGATGGTATATTTATCCAGGATCCAACTTAGTATCAAATCAAAATCTGAATTGGAATGAAATGCATTAAATGCCGTGGTGTGTTAATTTGCCCAGAAGAGAGCTTTCATGAAGCAGCATAATTTATATGGTGATTTTGGGGTGGGGGGAAAGGAGACATTTTCCTCCGTGTGGTTACAGCAGTAGTGGACAAAGGAAGAACAACTGATGTCATCTACCCAGACTTGTGCAAAGCATTTGACATTGTCCTGCACAATATCCTGGTCTCTAAATTGGTGAGACATGGATTCGACAGATGGACCACTCGGTGGATAAAGAACTGGCTGGACAGTCGCACTCAAAGAGTTGCGGTCAACGGCTCGATGTCCAAGTGGAGACCAGTGACGAGTGGTGTTCCTCAGGAGTCAGTACTGGGACCGGTGCTGTTCAGCATCTTTGTCAGTGACATGGACAGTGGGGTTGAGTGCACCCTCAGCAAGTTTGCCGATGATAACAAGCTCTGTGGCGAGGTAGACACACTGGAGGGAAGGGATGCCATCCAGAGAGACCTGGACAGGCTGGAGAGGTGGGCCCATGCCAACCTCATGAAGTTCAACAAGGCCAAGTGCGGCATCCTACATCTGGGTCGGGGCAATCCCAAGCATAAATCCAGGCTGGGTGGAGAATGGCTGGAGAGCAGCCCTGAGGAGAAGGACCTGGGGGTGTTGGTTGATGAGAAGCTCACCATGAGCCAGCAAAGTGTGATCACAGCCCAGAAGGCCAACCATATCCTGAGCTGCATCAAAAGAAGTGTGGCCAGCAAGACAAAGAAGGTCTCTCTGCTCTACTCTGGTGACACCCCACCTGGAGTACTGCCTCCAGCTCTGGAGCCCCCAACACAGGAAAGACATGGACCTGTTGGAGCGGGGCCAGAGGAGGCCCTGGAGATGCTGGGAGGGCTGGAGCCCCTCTGCTGGGAGGACAGGCTGGGAGAGTTGGGGGGGTTCAGCCTGGAGAAGAAAAGGCTCCAGGGAGGCCTTATTGCAGAGTGGTTTCATCTGAACTGCAGAAGGCAGTTTGAGCACACTTGTCTTAGTCTGTGCGCCGGATTTGGTGTAGGGAGCTTCTCCAGGGTGTCAGAGAATTTTTACTCCTGCACTTTTGTCATCTTCCCCTTTTGAGGGTCTGAATGAAACATCGGGTCTGAAAATAGGTTGAGTAGTGGCCATATTGATCTGTGGGGTTTTTCAGTCTTCTCATATAGCTGCTATTCGTTACTTTTATGCATCTCTTAGAGTCCTACTTCCTTTTTTTACTATTGGTTGTTAATTATTTTCTGAAGAGGCTTAGCTCAATGCCATGCTTTGCAAATGCTTTCTTTTTTTTTTTTTTTTTTTGGCAGTCATAAATGTGTCATATTTGCTGTTTGAAAATTGTCTGGGGACAAGGGTTGGATCTTGGGAATGTGTTCTTGTCAAAGGGATCAGATCTTCCATAGACCTCAGAAAGAAATACCTGTGTGTGTGCCAGCAGTGGACTGAGTCTGTGCAGTCTCTTCAGTTTGCAGAGAAGCAGGCAAGCCCCAGCCAGCAGTTAATGTGCTGAAAACATGGGGTACAGGAAGATTAATCCCCGCTATGCGATTCAGTGATTTTGGAGACATGAGTTAGCACTGACAAGCATAAACAGAAAAAAAAAATATGTTAGAGTGCCAATCATTAGCTTGCTAATACGTGCTGCATCCATGGCAAAACTGTTTCTCTTCTTTCAAAGGTTTCACCAACTTCATGCGCAGTCCGGCTTGCGATATATTTAATCCACTGCATTGTGAAGTGCATCAGGATATGGATCAACCCCTTTGTAACTACTTTATTGCTTCATCTCACAATACATACTTGACAGGAGACCAACTGCTCTCCCAATCCAGAGTGGAGATGTATGCACGAGTGCTGCAGGATGGTTGTCGATGTATTGAAGGTATATTTGTGGTGTAACTTGCTGGTGGTGAGAAGTATGATGGATATTTCTTTTAAGGGCAAAGTCAGTGGCAAACTCAAAGCATTAATGCTTTGCTGTCTGATTAACTTCAGTGGTAACCTCCTGTTTTCTAGCTGTCTAAACAGCAATTTTTCTGTTGGGAATGACTTTCTCAGGCAAACTTCATCGACACCACTGCTTTCTCCTGCCTGCTCCCGCGTTGTTATGCTTTTCTCAGTCAGTGCAAGTTTTCCGTTGTCCCATGTTTATGTGAAGCATTTTTTAGCGGCACAAGCGGCAGTAAGGCAACGGACAGTCATCTGTTTGGGGCCCTGCAGTTCTAGCAGAGCAGCCGTGGTTGTTCCGCTCTGAGGTTTCCCTGTGCTGGAGGTTCCTGCTTCGCAGGAGTGCTTCCTACTCCACCTTGTTCAGAAGGAGCTGAGTCAGCAAAGGCCTGTTTCTTTCATAAGCTGAATGGGAAAGTGGGTGTTTGCATATGCAGTTCCTCCTGTGGATGCAAAAGGAAGATTAACAGTGCCTGAGGGAGGAGGAGAGGTGAGCAAATAGTGCCTTCAATCAGCACGGCTGTGTATCTATTTCTGTCACCATCTTAGAGCTGAGAAACTTGGATTTTGTCTGCCACAATAGAGAGGCAGGATGCTGTTTCGTTGGCTGGATGCTGGTGGAAGAAAACAAGATGCTGTTTGTCTGATAGCCTGGAGATCATGTTGGATTCTTGTTTAAGTTCTGCATGATTTAAATAATAACAAAGCATTAGTGTTTTTCTTTTCAAGATTCTGGGTGGAATGAAGTCTTTTGACAATTTAAAACTCAATCTTAATTTTTTATGACTATTGTTACAAAACTCATTCCTGGAAAAAAAATTAATCTGAATTTAAAAACTAATTGGAGAAAGTGAACCTGAAAAAAATTAGATGGTGTGTCACTGTACTTTCCCTTCTGTAGGAAAGCTCACTAGAATGTACTGTAGTGTGTTATTTCACTTGACCTCAAAACTATTGTGGATACTGTGCAGCCTAGGTAATAGCTCTGTAGCTTTCTCTTTGTGAAGTTTTTAACCTTCCTGTAGAGACAACAGTAGTGACAAGTTTGGTGTAAATCCAGGGCACAGTAATTCATTAGGAAAAATATTACTCTCCTAGTCCATTCTCCATGTGATGGATTCGATGCAACTCTTGCTATAGTCAGTTATAAAACTGCAAGTTTAATTACAAGTGGAAAAAGGCTAAATGGTTTCTAAATAGTTTGTCTTCAGAAGCAGAAGCTGTTTTCCAAGAGATAGCTGTAAACATTATTTGACCTATTAAACCTTTGTAATTTTATATATGAAGAAAAAAAAACTCTGTTTAGTATCGGGGTGGGGTGGGGTGGGAACAGGTTTAGGTTGCAGATTTCTCATTTGATGTAAGAAAAGACTGTCTTATTAGTCTTAACTCCGTTGGTAGGTCATACTAGATTGAATGAAAATTGTTGACACCTGCACAGTTGAGTAGCATACGTGAGTTCTGCTGGGAAGCGAAATCAGCAGAAATGTATAAGATCATGGGCATCTCCTAATGTATAGATTTTTTTTTTCTTAATAGTGGATTGCTGGGATGGTCCAGATGGAGAGCCGGTAGTGCACCATGGCTATACTCTTACTTCTAAAATACTCTTCCGTGATGTGGCAGAAACTATCAATAAATATGCCTTCATCAAAAATGAGTAAGTGTAGAGTCAGTTTTAAAGCTACATCTGTCTGTTTTGTGTAGTTAATCCCACGTCAAAATCAGCAATCAACATCAGGAAGTATGTATATTCTTTTTAACACATTGAGAAATTATAAAGTTGATTCTGTTCCCCTGTTTATTACCTATGTCATATTTATTGTTGACCTGCATGAGCTCTTTCCATCAATCAAGTTAGAAAGTTCAACCTAAGTTAGAAAGACCTTTCGTGCATTGTAAACTCAGTAATACTTTTAACGGTCTGAGACTATTGAATATCTACAGATTATTTTTGTCCTTTGTTTGAACAGAACTTCCCACTCATATCGACAGGGAAATTCTCCTTAAAAATCAATACCATACTATTCTCTACCGAAGGAAAATACTTTATTTCAGTAGGAAGATTGAAAAGCTGTCTCATATATAATATGGGGAAATACTGAGATGTTTGGTAATGTTCAGATTCTATTTTGTTTGCCATGGTACTATAACAGTTTATTATGAAAATCATGGAGTTTAACCATATATATACACAACGGTCTCAAATCATGAGTGGGTGTATAGAATCTTGAGTATTTTAGAGAGAATAAAAGGAAAATGCTTACTTACCTTTATTTAAAAAAAGAAGAAGAAAAAAAATGTGGCCCAACAATGGGCACACCCCCTCCCCCAAAAATATAAAAACCCCAAACAAAAACCAAAACAAACAAAAAACCACAAAAAACCTGAGCCCAAAAGTTTGGTGTTGTTTATTAGAAATAGGAGGTGATGATTCCAGAACTGAAGGAGGTGGTTCTTCCTTTGGTGTGTAGTTGGCATGTGGGGTTCATTGCCACAGGATTCTGAGGCTGGCAAGAGTTTAGAAAACAACGGGGCAAATTTGTGGAAGAAATAGGCTGTTATGCAAAGAAACAATGTCTTTAGCTCAGGAAACGGAATTCCTGGAGCCTGGGAGAGTATTCTGGAAAGCATTGCCAAATATTTCTCCTTCTCCAGAGTCTGGGCATCTTCAGAGATTTGGTCTGACTCACTGTGGCTGCACTTATTAAGACAAAGGCAAATCGTTCATGCAGCTATCAGTCTTTGGAAGATGAACAGAGAGGAGTTAGCAATTCCTTCGAATCTGTTGATTTCAAAACATTTTTCTCCAGGAGCAGCTTGCTGATCACTTACGGCTTATGAAGACTTTGTATGAGGCTTGCAAAGGAGTAACGTACCTTCTGCTCAGTCACAAAGAACAGAAAGGAATTGCATTGCTGCTGAGCGTTATTGAAAGTTTCTCTGTGCCTCACACTCAGTGATTGTTGGTTTCAAACTTTGTCACCCTGTGCCCTAGTGGGTAGGGTGGGAGGGAGAGGGCAAAAACGCCTGCAGGGACTGTCTGAGGGATTCTGACAGAGCAGGGATTTGGGAGTTCATGTGCAAAGTTCTTCCTCCCGAAGTGAGTTTGTTTCCAGACTGGTGACAATGCAAAAGCAAACTGCTAAAACCGGTTTGTGGGGTAAGCTGTGCGGGTCTTCTGTCTTAAAACACAGTTATGACAATGTCTGGGGGTTTTGTTTCTAGGTTTCCAGTGATACTGTCTATTGAAAACCACTGCAGTATTCAACAGCAAAAGAAGATCGCTCAGTACTTGAAGGAGATATTTGGTGACAAACTGGACTTGTCATCTGTAATCACTGGAGATTCCAGACAGCTTCCTAGCCCTCAGAATTTGAAAGGGAAAATCCTAGTGAAGGTAACTTGCTACTGGTGCCGTGTCCAAAATGCAACAAAAGTCAGCATGTGATGTTTATCACAGATTTTCTTTGGCTTTGGAGAACCAGTTCAGCAGTACTATGTTGAATGGTACAGATGCAGTAAGTGAGTTAAAATTATGAGCTTTTCAGAGACATTGAAACAGGGTTTCCCTTGGACTTGGCAAGTGTCCCAGAGTACTTCTCTAAGTGTTTCAACAGGGAGGTGATATCAACAGCAGAGGAAATTCTTTCTTCATCTTAAGCATCTTATCTGCGAGTCTTAAAGTCAGAGCTGCTTATTTTTAAACCTTAGCACCAAGTCAGGAGAGCAGAAAAGTGCTATAAAATGATAGAATGAACTGTGACACAGTTACCTGAACCCAATTATCCTTTCTTTTTTTGAAATTTGTCATTAGTGGATATTATTCTGTATGGTTCACATCCCTATAGTATCTAAACAGTATCCTCCAGTCCCTCCTTGGACAAAGGATTTTGGAGTAATGTAAAAGCATCTGAAAATTTCTTGTGTTTTCTTGCATTTCCCCCTCACCCTGCTATGAGCAGTAGTTCATGAAATTAAACTCTGTTCATGGTTCATCAGCTGTGTTTATGAAAGAAGAGCGCTTCAGAAGGTGGCTATAAGGAGCAGCGAGGGAGGAGGCCCTGGAGCACTGAAGTTACTGTTGTATGCAAGATTAATTGTTTGAGCCTCTCAGTATAAACGGATTTGCTCTGAAAGGGATTTCAAAGACCAAGATGGATATAATAAGAAAGAAATGCTAGGCAGAGCTTTGAGAGGATGATTAATAGAGTTGTGGCTTGTTAGATTGTCTAATTTACTTTGACACATGGGGGCAATTACTTCGCTGTGAGCTCTTGAGATGCCGTTTTTCCTCTCCCTAACCTCTGTCAAGCTGGCTACAAGGATTCACAATTTTGGTTTGATGTTAGTTTGAACATATTTCAATGTACAGTACAGAGCTGACTCTGAATTAGAAAACCTTTGAGTGCTCAACTGTGATTTTGAATTTCCCCGAATCAGTTTTCTTGTGTGACTCCCAGTTAACGAACTATGCCAGCATGTAGCGGTGTTGTTTTAGGGAGTCAATCAAAATAGTATGCAATGTCAGTCATGCAATAAAACCCAGCAAACCTGGCTTGAAATACTGTGTCAATGCACAAAAGGCAAGAGAGGTTTGGTACTGTGCTATTCTTAAATGAACTTTTGAGCTGGTCTTCCTAGCACGTTTGAGTTTGTAACTTTAGTGTGATTCTTCAGCTAACAGGGCGGAAACCCTGTGAGTAGCTACAGAATGGTGTGGAGCCGAGGTAGCATTTTTAGGAAGAGGAATACTATTTTCAGCATCACAGTAGCTTTTCACAAAGCCCTATCTCCCATCTCCTGCTCAATTTAAGCAGCCCTATTGGAAAAGATTAAATCATATTTAGGGATCAGCATCTTGTTGAGAAGTAAGCCAGTTTCTCATCTTTTTGCTGTTAATTTTGGTCTGTTTTATACATTTTCCTTTGAAAGGCAGTATTGATTCATTAGCTAAACAATTTCAAGTAATTGGTGTCATTTTCATCTTGTTAGTGTACATAAAGAGTAATTCTAATAATACTCATGGATTTAAGCCAGTATAAAGGTGTGAGTGTGAAGTGAACTTGATCCACTCAGTAGCAGGGCAGCATTATTAATTTCAAAATGCAGTCTGTAAAGCAATCCTCTTCGTTTCTGCAGAAATCTGAGTGTGATTCTTATCTGCCTCTGTCACTGATGAAACGGGTAGACTGTGAACGTTTCTGCAATCCCTGAGGAAAACACAGAAGTAATAACACAGAAGTTTAATAGGTGATTTATTAAGTAGCAGATGGTAAAGCAAGAGGCATTGGCCACAGGTTGCAGCTTTGGGAGGTGCAGACTGGATGGCAGGAAAAGCTTCTTCAGCTGTGGGTAGTGCCGCACGGAAGGAGGCTGCCCAGGAGGCTGGGGGACTCTCCAGCCTGGAAAGTTTGCAAGCCTTGGCTAAGCAAAGCTCATCTAGAGCTGGAGGCGATCCTCCCTGAGTGCAAGATTGGACCGGAGACCTTCAGAGGTCCCATAGCCAACATTATCAGGGTTCTGTGGTTGGGCTTTGCTATAAGTAATCGTACAGGAGAATTAAAGATGAACACTCTAAAAAGGATAATTAATCTGTTGGGGCCTTTTTTTTTTTTTTTTTTTTTTTAACCAGAAATAGCAAATAACCTCTGTTTGCTCACCACTAACCAGATGTTGGAAACTAGACATGGAATTAAAGTAGTTCCTCTGTAACGTAGGTATATGACATTCACAGTACTGGATTAGCAACTAATTTTGGATTGCTGACTACACTCTCACATGAGCGTGCAATGTTAAAATAGGCTTTGCTTTCTTCACGTTGATGGCTGCTTGCAGCTAATTCTTCTGTGTCTGCATTTTCTATTCTGATGCAGAGCCTATAACAAAATCTCAGCTTCTGGTTTTGCGTTTTAAGTATACAAGAGTCTGCTTGCCAGGGGTAAGCCTGAAATATCTGGGAGTCAACTCAAAAAAATCATTTGGACACTTGCTGGCTTGCTCCAGAGATGGGAAGTGGTATGCTTTTATTGAAAAAGCTTGCAAAGATCTTTCAGTAACAAACTCTTCCAGAAATACTTAAATTATCACCTGTGATAATCCGAGTCCTTGAACCAGTTTGCATGAGACTCTCTGAAAACAAATTCTAAACCGTTGTCACAATGCACATAAGGAATAGTTGAGGAATGGGCTACTTTGGTCTTTGCACTAAATAGCACTGACAATAAATGCACAATAAATGTGCAGTTATTGTGAATATTTTTTCCTTGTTTTAGGGTAAGAAGTTGCCATACAGTCTTGGAGCAGATGCTGAGGAAGGAGAAGTTTCAGATGAGGATAGTGCGGATGAAATTGAAGACGACTGCAAGTTGAAGACCTGCTATGTATGTGCATATACTAAGTTCCCAGAACTGTTACATCTCTACGTTTCTTACATGCATACTCCATAATCCTACAGTTGGTGGCAGATTCGAATTTTTAACTTTGTTTTCTAACTCAGATCCTTAAGATACAGAATTTATATAATTCCACAGTTAGATATGGAGTGAAGTTTTTCAGAAATGCACACTTTGTCATTTAAATCATATAAATAACAGATATAAGTACTTTAGGTACACGAGACAGTAAACATTGACACCAGCACTATAAGCATGCTAGGCTTTTTTTCAGATGCAAATGTATAGTACTCAAAGCAACGGCATGATGGGAATTACTGCACAGTTTCTAGGTTAAAATTATGAAAGGAGACACATGAAAAAAATTTGAGGTGTGAAACATTTTTATTTTCAGTCCTTCTGTTTCTTATTTTTTGACACTGAACTTTGCTTTCTGTTCCCTTTATTTGTTAAGTCCTTGTTTATTTTTCTGGTGTTAATTGTATTAATGCATATTTTTTGCTGCAAACTGAAATTGGTGTGCAATGCTAATACACATTATCCAGCAGGTGTTTTTTTCTAGTCAGGAGGCAGCCTTGCTTCACCAGTTAAAACTTTTGAGCAAAGAAAATACTATCTAGGGAGGTGCAGAAAGAATAGATCAAATTCAAATTAATATTTAGCAAGTATAATGTTTATCTCTATTTTTGAATGTAGCCCAGTGAGTTTGCCATTTTGTCACACGGAAACACTTTTCTATAGTTCTCATTAACTGGTTTTGGTTTACATATTGAGCTTTTGATTTGTCTGTATCATTTATGCCTGCTACTAGCAACTGAAGGATTTTCAGAATAGCTTGGGATTTGGGTTACAGGTAAGAGAAGTCCCCATCTGAACTCGTTCAGAGGAAGTACATATTTGTGCCGGTTCTTCCCCTCCCCTCCCCTCCCCTGCTGTTGCTAAAATGCGTGTTTCAGCAACATCTTTTGGGAGGTTCAAGTACACCACACAGAAGGGATGATTTGAGATTTTTTTTTTTTTTTATTTCCCCCTCTTTGATAAACAAACCCCCTGTGGTACTTGACAAAATCATGATTAATTCATTTCTTAATTATTTCGAGGTTAGACTGCACTGGATGTCATTCAACCATATGTTCCCCAAGACAGTCCCATACAGTGGTACAGCCTTGCAGTAAATGCTTGAAGCATAGGATAAAATCAGTTTGCTCGATGACTCAGAATATTTCTGTTAGTGTTTACTACAGAATTGGAAATATTTGGCATTAACTAATCTACGGGGAAGCCTGAAGACTCCCAATCCCATAAACCTTTAGGAATATGATTGTTTTAAGTACAGGTACAAACTTCCACAGGTGTAAATTCAGGGGAAAAAGTAAATATAGAATAAACATAACTTTAATTATGGATATAGTAAGATGAGATGAAATTGCTCAAGCAGTTCTGAACCAACATGATGCCTGATTCATTGTTATGTGCTGTTCAACAGGAGCAGTCTGTGTAATCCACATGTGCTTTACTAAGGTGGCTTGAGCACTTCTGATGAGATGATGCTTTCTTTAACAGAAAGACCTAGGACAAAATTTGGCAATCCTTAAAGCCAATGCAAAATACAGTATGTCTTTTGAGGCTAGAAATGGAACATGTTAGGATGGAACAGTTGCTTTCCCCTCCTGTCTCGGGAGAGGTCTCACCCCATGGACAGCGGGATGCTAGCTGCACACTGTTCTATAGGATCTGTTTTTATTTTAAGCGCATTATGTAGGAGACTGGTTTGTGTCTGTGCTTCCTCTTTCTTATCCTTTGGAGCAGGAATCTAACGATGCTCAGGCTGTCTGACACTTTGGAGGAAGGGTGTCACTGCATTAGCTTGAGAGTTCATGCCATCATCTGAAAGAGACGGTCAGACTTGTGAGAGTTTTGAAACAAAGAGCTAAGGCCAGGGCCAGGCTCTGGGGTGATCTAAGTGGTGGATCGTGCTTTGGTGAGGCAGGGTAAATTATGTGTCAGGAGGACTAAAGAGGAAAAAGGAAAATGGAAATGGCGGTAAAAGGCACCTGCCTGGTTTTGCCGGGATTGTGCAAGAAAGTTTTTCTTGCACAGAGGAAGAAAATGTTGGGAGCGCTGTGTGGCCTGAAGCATGTGTAATGCTCCCTCAGGCTGTCCCAGAAGTGATGGACACAATAATTTACTTCAACTGGATTTCTTAATGACTTTCAGAGCAATGGTGCAACTGAGCACCAGGTGGAATCTTTTATAAGAACGAAATTGGAATCTCTGATAAAAGAATCCCAAATCAGGGACAAAGAAGACCCAGACAGCTTCACTGTGAGAGCCCTGCTAAAGGCAACCCATGAGGGCTTAAATATTAACCTGAAACAGGTATGTGGTTTTTCCCCTTTGCATGCTCTGCTGAGTATTAGACAATGCAATGTGTATTGCACGTTTTTCAGATGAGAAAGCTGATAACTTATGAACAACTTCTGAGAGCTTGTTTTAGCCAAAACGAAATCTTGGAACTATTTCAGGAAGATAGCTATTCAGAGAATTTGAATGGTCAAATGTGAAGTGTGTGTTGTTTCAATATGGTCTCATCTGGTTTATTCCTTGTAAGACTTGGAACTTGGAAGCGACTTATACGGTAAGTACCAATATTGCATGCATGTGTCAAGCAATTTAGTTTGTGTCTAGGTTATTGGGGAAGATCCCTTCTCTATTGCCTTAGTCCTGTGAGGACTGGCCATGATAACTGAAAGCGTTGTCTGCCTGCGATGCTGATGGCTCTTTTGTACAGCACTAAAACACAGGATTGTGCTTTTACTGCCCTAAGCCAGGTTCTAGTTTTCTGTGCCCAGATGGTTTTATATCAAGAATGGTATGTTTCTTTTCCCATTTGACATCAAACTATTATTGTAAAACAGCTAAATGTATTACAATTTTGAGTACATCAGTAGACAGTTAGTACCTTAAATCCACAGTTACCGTACTTTCACCTCAACCAGATGCAAACCCCAGTTATATTAAATACAGAGTGAATTGTTCTGTGGGGGATGTGCCTACTCTGTAACCAGCGCAGTCTTAAAGGTCAAGTACATGTAGCTCTGCTTTCTGCACGTCTGCCCACTCTATAGGGTTTATGCAGTTCTTGTCAGTCTCCGAGGCTGGACCTGTGAGACTTTGGCCTGAAGCCGGGCTTGACTACGGAAAACATACTGGCCTTGTGCTGATGCCCGAGACCCCTGCTCGAAGCTGCGCTGTGGTGGGAAGAGGCTGTAAGAATGCACAGGACGAAGGCATGTGACCCGAGAGATAAGGGTTATTTTTAGACTGTGGCTTTGCAGTGCGAGAACAGTCAGCTTGCCTGTTCCCTTCGGCCTTCTGAGGTTGGAAAAGTGGGATTCCAGAGAGCAAACACCCCATGTTAGTAAATATGATCAGATATGAGCAATTTCAGTTTTATCTTGAGTTGGAATAATTACACTTGATGTGTTCTCTGGTATCTGGAAGAATGGTTGGCCCCTAGCTAGCGTTTGAGGGGGCAGGGAGTTTTGTTTAAAGAATGCAAATTTCCATAAGGTGTTTGTGTCAGATATGATACCTGGGATTACCCATTACATGTCATCAACATGACCGGAATATGGAAAATACTTCAGTACTGTGACTGCATTATTCAGACTTCTGTCAGATGATAATATGAAGTGATAGGTTTTTCTAATTGACTTATTTTAAATTATTAAAGGACATTTAGAGATCCTCTTCCCTTGTGGCAACAGTTCTGTGTGTAGACTGATTGCATGGGACCATTGTTTTCAAGGGTCTTAAAGTAATACAGAGCTGAACAATTAGTAATAATAAGTTAAAAGAACTGGAAGATTCATTTATATCAACTGTTGACCTAGGTGGGAGAAAACAAAATGGTTAAGTGTTGTAATGGTTTGGTAATTGTGTAACTCATTAGCTAGCTTGCTTTGGTGGTGCTGTAAAGCTCTTTTCTAGTAGTTACTGTGTAATTGATATACCAGGAGGGGAAATGTTTCTACTTTTTTTGCTGATCAAATCTCATTTTCCTTTACTTTGTCATTGATATGCCAGTCATTTTCCCAAAGAAATGCTATTATTTAAAAAAAAAAAACAACAAACCAACAACAAACCCCAAAACATTCACAGTGCAGTTTATGTATTGATCTTCAGTAATTATCAATTGGGTTTTTTGTGGGGAGGGAGGAAGGCAATTTGTATGGTACTGTCTGTCAGGCCTGCTACTAGTTGGGATTTGCTGTTGAAATTGTCAACACTGACTCTTATTTGAGGGAGACGAGTACTTTATCTGCTAAGGTTTCCTTCTACGTATTACAGAGACTCTCAGCCTGAACTAGGAACAAATCTTTGAACATAGATACAGAGGTTATTGACTTTCTTCTTGGACCTGAAGAAGCCATCTATGTGATAGCCAGAACTGAATTCCAACTCAGCACTGAACAGGGAATAACTGGAGTTCATCGGACTTGCTGAAACACTGGGGGAATATTCTTCAGCACCTTTTTGTTTTGCTTTTTAGAGGATGAAGGGGTGTGCTTTTCTGACAGAAAAAGCTACGTGCTGCCAGAAGTTATCAAACCGATGTCTAGGGGCATGGCTATAAATGTGAAACTCAGGCTTCAGGCTGCCTGTGAAAAGTCCACATTTATCTGTTAGGAGATATTTTTTTCCCCCCTTTTCCTTTGTGGCTATTTTCAAGCACACTTCCAAATGTTCTCATGTTTTGCTGTTGCTTGCCTGGTTTTGCTAGACTGTTTTTTCTACATGGTTGGTTGTGGTCTTGAGTGTTAATGTTAATATTTTCCCTTACTGTAAGAGGATTGCTAAGCTATCAAGTATATAAAGAAATTAGAAAAGGCCTGTAATGAGATTTTGGATTTCAGTCTGTGTTCACAGATCCATATGTTGTGTTTAGACTTTAACTCACTCTTTTTTCTCTTGTGCAATCACTATATTCTTCTAATAGTGAATCACAGTGACATACAAGAACTCATATCAGGTTGAAACTATGTCTTTTAGAGACTGTGGCAGACTCCTTACAGATACTCCTGAAGGTATCTAGTTACTTTTTATTGCGTTCTCTCTGCACAGAACCTGGATACAAAAGAAGGTGGAAAAAAGTCTCATAGCCGATCATTAATGGGCAACTTCGGTAAACACAAGGTAAGTAAAATGAGAGACGGGGTTTGCTGTTCTAGGTCTGACAGCATTCTAGAGTCACCAGGTATGTTTCATTGCTTGGGACAAGCATGGGGTGTATGGGAGCAGTGAGGAAAGAGTATGGGATTATACTTGATATATTTATTGCTGTTCAGTAGCTGCTACCAGCATGGAGAACCCTTTAAAAATGATCACACAAATTCAAAAAATGTCTTGCCTGACCAAAATGATCATCTTTACCGGTGATGTGGAATTGCTGATTTTCTGATCAAACTTGCAGCAGCAGAAGAGCAGTGCAGACAAATGCCTTGGCGTATTCTTCTTTTCCAGACTTCTGTCCACACAGCCGACGATGTTTGTTCCATTCGGGGTCCAGTTTTACCCTGTTCCTCACCCTGAGCAGTGCCATGCAGAGCACACAGTTACTGTCTTTCCACTTGCTTTAAGGGACTGCTGTGACTGATTACTGGCTCTGGGCTTCAGCTTTGTAAAAATTTTTTTTTCTGACTTCTTCATGGTTTTGCATATAGTATTTGTATGTTTGTGTAGCTGCTAGGTCAAATTGTCTGCTTTGCTGAGTCTCCACTGTGGCGGCTCTGTTGAACCAAGCAAGAGCTAATAAAATTCAGATGAGTGTGAGGTTTCATTTTACAGCTGGACAGATAGCAGCCACCAAAAGGGCCAGGGCGCTCGTGTTTCCTCCCGTATCCTGACAAATGTGTTCCTGTCATCCGCCTCCCCTGTTCCCACACTCCCCCGGTGCCTCGAGGCATGGATTTATTGAACACGTAGCCTCAGCATGAGCTGATTCAACTGAGAGCTTCCTTCCTCCTGCAGTCAATTAGCAGATACCCAGTGAGTAAATCAGCAGATGGGCTCGTTGTGAGCAGCATGCAGCAGGTCTGCAGCCCAGCCACCGTGCCACCAGTGGTACCTCTGCCCCCAGCCTGCTGGGCACCCGTGTTCTTCTTCAGCGCTATCCGTGGTGAGCGCCGCAGCCCAGCAGGGAGCACACTCTGTAACTGATAATCTGAGCAGCAATTTAGGAAAAACAGCAGTTATGAAATACTTCATAGAACTTAATCAGCCAGCAGCTCATCTGCCCTGAAGCCAGCTAGGAGCCAGCAAAAACTCTCTAGGCAAACAATACCAGGACTCATATTTACCCTTTGATTATAAGCTTACATCAGCTTAAAGTGGCCACATTTCTTTCAGCAGCTTTAGCTAAGTGCACATTATTCACCCAGTGTGTGGTGGTGTCTGCAAGTACCTGTTGTGCACAGCAGTGGACACTTCACATCGTGGCCTGTGCTCGCTGATGGGAAAACAAATGCTGTGGAATGAGATGTCACAGACAAAAGTCAGCCACTAAAAGCTGCTGGTTATGCTGAGGGCTGGAAAGTATGTCAATAATTTAATTACTTCAACTATTTATCCTAATGGATCTAGCAGGTTGGAAAGCCCATTTGTTTCATTTTTGCTGAAAAAAAAATAAGACAGAGTATATATAGATTTTTTTTTTTTTTTAATAATGATTGTATTGTAGACTGAGGCAACAGGGACATCCAGTAACTTCCCCATTATGCCTTTCCAGCTAAAGGGATGCCTGGGAAGGGTGGTTACTATTGATATTTTTGAAGGTACAGAATTATCCACCCAGGGTTATTGACTCGTGGTGTTTTCAGCCAGCTCATGTGCCAAATGTATCCATGTAGAAACTAAAAACTGCCCATGGAGGGACAAAGACGGTAAGGCTGGCAATTCCTGCAAGGTAACTGCAGGAAACATCCACAGTCCAGACCTTGGGATTCCAAAACTGAACCACGCACATGATTTCCAATATAGTCAACTTTTATTTCAGCACTAAACACAGCAAACTAAATTATGTGCGTTATTGGTGCACAGCAGGAGAAAAGAAATCTGTACTCAATTAGCCCTATGAGCAAAAGGATAAGGAGCTCTCAGTTATATTGTTAATTACCTCTTGATGAGAAGGGAATTAAAAAAACTCTCACTTGAAGCTGTAGCTAGCATTACAAAAGAAGTAATACTGGAATTGGAAACTATTAAATAATAGGTGTTTCAGAAAAAAAGGTGCTTTTGAGATTTTTAATCCTTGTTATCATAGCTATTTTCTTTACTGTATACTGTAATACTTTAGAATATCTTGAATGCATGTATGTGTGGCTCAAAAGGCAGCAGAAAGATGATGTTTGAAAATTTTGCCCAGACTCTGTTCTCAGCTTCACGAATGAATTTGTTAAATTTTCTAAACTGGGGGAAAAGCATAGGTAGGTGTAAGCAATGCACTGTATGCTTAGATCCTACTGTGTGTTACTGTTTGTTGAATAAGATAGAATCCATTAGAATTTCAGCAGGTTTTGGACCAGTGCCAGTGTACTGGAGACAGTGGAGCAATGTTGTCTTCTCAGGTCAGGAGGGAGCAGGGGAGGCAAGTTGCAGAATATGCAGTGGTCTGCAACGGACTGGCCAGTTTGCGGAAATAATTTTCTTCAGGCTTGGATTTGTCTCCAAGCCAGTAGATAAACCTGCTCCATGGCTGCAGGCTTGGATCCTTGCAGTCAGATGGAGTGAGATCAGGGCACAGATGCTTTGTGTTGGCTTTCTGTCTCTCCGTGTATGGAAACACTTGATGTACCACCGAGGTTTTTCTGGTCTCAAACCCCCAAGGGTCATTCTGCGTCCTTGTAGGACACTGGTCCTGTGCTGTAAACCTGCTGCAGCTCACCCACCCCCTTGATGTTAGAGTAATGTGGATTTATAGCACCATTCCATAAACTGACACAGCTCTGCTTGATTCTTTCCCAACAGAAAGCTGTGAAGGCAGCGTCCAAATACCATAGTGCATCAGATGATGAAGAATGCCAGCAAAACTCTTCTGGAAAGGAAACAGGACAGCTCCACAGGTGAGCTATGACTCACCATAGTTTTACAGCTCAGTTAAAGCCAGAGGCATGTTACTACTATCACTATGTACATGTCACTGCCTCGGGGAAGGCTGTTGGGGTATATTTTGCCGTGACTGCTGTAGCCCGGTATTTTGATCGTGTAGGTTTTCATAGGTTGCAAATAGCAATTACCCTTAAACTGAAAAGAAATGTGATAGTAATTCTCTTCTAATGGAAAAATGCCAATCCACATTTTGCATGCTGTAAATAGTGCTCAAAGAAAACTGTTTAGGCTAAATAAGGGTACATCACAGCCCAGCCAACTTTATTACATCTGAGAACGTAAAGAAAAAGCAATCAGAAAAGTGCCATTGAGAATGCATTTGTTGTCACTGAAACGTTCTGTTTTCAGACAGCTTAAAGCTGTCTGCCTTGTTTTTGTTGAGAAGAGCCATGGTGCAGCTATTTCATTATGTGATAAATGAAAAATTTTGTTTGTGTGGTGTAACTGTAGATGTACAAGGGGAGCAGTCATCTTGGAGCCCTCTCTAAGAAGGTGTGCCACACGTGGTTCCCTGTTCACAGTTGTTTATTTCCTTATTGGTGAAAAGAACAGAAAGGAGGATTGAAATAGTCTTTAAATATTGAAAAAATCCCATTTTGTTTTATATATTAAATATAACTCAGCAGACTGGCTCGTCGAAGAAAAACGGTGAAGCTGTGCCGAGCTCTGTCTGACCTTGTGGTGTACACGAACTCTGTGGCAGCCCAGGATATAGTAGATGATGGTAAGGCTGCTGGCACAAGACTTACACGTGCCTTTTTCACTTTTCTGTTTGCGTAGGAAACATGTCTGTGTTCTCAAGGTTTCCCTTGTTTTTAAAAGCAGAGTAGTTAGTAACCTGTCCTGTTTATTTAAATATGGAGAAAGAGCAAAGCACCACCTTTTTCTTCCCTAGGAGATATCCTTTCCCTTGGTTTCTCACTACATTCACGTTTTATAGCGATTTTAAAGATGAGACTTTTTCAGAAGAACACTTTCCTGATTTCAGTGTTTTATGGAATTTGTCATCATCTTTTAACATTATCAATTTTAAGTAGCATTTATTAACATGATAGATTTGAATTGTGATAAATAGATGTGATCCCTGTTCAGAAAGTGTGTGGTTGTTTCAGTAAACATGCTAGAGGCAAAGTGGAAATGAAGAAAGTTGCAGAGGAATTTGTGGGAAAGGTCACCAAACATACATGAGCAAACTGTGTATGGAATTCTGTAATTACTATAAAAATAATTCCTAATTTAAGAGAGTTTAATAGGAGAAATCAAGGAAGGTAGAAGCACTGTGGAGAAACAGAGTCCAAGAAATCCTAGAAGGACATAGTCTTGTAGAGTCTCAGTCTCATTGTTCTGAGCTGAGACAGCTCAGCTGTTCCCGCAGGTCCAGGTGCAGTGAGGTGGTAGTGCTGAAGCCATCGGGGGGCTCCTGGCCCTCTGGAAAGGAGCGCCTGCTCATCGGAGCACAGTACTGCAGCTGCCTTCCATCTAGATCTTGTGCTTTCCTGGACCTAGCTGAAGAGATGGGCATGGAGAGATGGTACAGCTGAGTTGGTCTAACCGCTCACTTGGAAGTTGGGCACTCATGTAGGAAACTCTTCTGGTCAGTCTTTTTCCCAGAGGGCAGAGATGATCAAAGGGGGTCTGCCTAAGAGGATAAATGCTCAGAGGGAAGACTTATGAATTGGAAAAGATTTCTTGCTTTATTTAGAGAAAGGATGAGTTTGCAGAAGCCTCTCTTGGAGAAAAATGGGTTGAGTGCAGCTATTAATGTGTTACAAGGACAAGAGCAAAACTGGAGCCCTGCTGGGCCCGTCCTTCCCCTGAGTGTAAGCTCTTCAGAAGGTAGTTTTGATCATGCTGCCATTAGTAGATTTCTCTATAGATTCTTCATAGCAATTATGTCTGGGGTTCTGCAGGAGAAAAGGCCCTAGCAATTAGCATAAGCTTGTGCTTGGCTTTCCTTGTAAGTCTGGAAACTTGAGGGTAGAACAAAAGACCCTCCCCTGGAAGGGGAAACGGGTGCCCTTCAGTCAGGCAATGTACATGATTTGCATGTGACAAGACAACCTGTCGGTGTAGCTTTGGACTAAATCCGATGTTCCCCTTGATCAGTACCAGTGAAACTGAGGTCTAAGTTCAGGCCCCCGTCTCCTGGGATTGCTTTGTGACTTGTTTGTTGATTTAAAAATGCACACAGGATCAACAGGGAACGTGCTGTCATTCAGTGAAACCAGAGCCCACCAAGCAGTGCAGCAGAAGGCCGAACAGTTTATGCTTTACAACCAGAAACAGCTTACAAGGGTCTATCCATCCGCCTATCGGATTGACTCCAGCAATTTCAATCCTTTACCTTACTGGAATGTTGGTTGCCAGTTAGGTAGGTGTTGCATGAATAACTCACTCCCCACTTCTTGTATATGTGTTAAGTAAATATCTTACACCTGAGTCTTCTCTCTCAACAGTGGCACTAAACTACCAATCTGAGGGACGCGTGATGCAATTAAATGATGCAAAATTTAGGGTAAATGGAAACTGTGGTTATGTCCTCAAACCTCAGCAGATGTGCAAAGGTAATGTCCTACTATACATTTATTACTGTAAATGTCAAGCTTTTCAGAAAATGTCTTCATGGTGAAGTTGCCAAGACACAAGAAAGAAAAATAAGAACATATATAGAATCTGTTGTATTTCCATAAATTCATGAGCTTATTTTACTTCAGAATTCTTTTTTTTTTTATCCTCAAAAAATGGCGTCTAACTCTCAGACTGCATAACTACCAGCATACAATCTCTTGCTGTTATTATAGACATATTTTGAGGGCTCCATCTTAATACGTGTTTAAAAAAAAGAAACGCTTGTAGTTGGCTAGCCTGGGCCAAGGAAGAACAAGGAATGCAGTGGCCCAGGCCTAAGTATCCAGGCCTTGGTCCAGCTCTCAAGCAAGTTAGAACGCTGTTAGAACAGGAGCCAGTGGTTTTCAGTGTTATACAATCACAATCCTTCCGTATTTTTTGGACTTGGGATCTGATTGTATCCCTGTAACTCTAAGTTATTTCCTTAATGCGGCCATTAGAAGCAGCAGGGTTGATAGAAAGGTACTTAAGAGGGACTTTAGGTACTTCCTCTGCTTCTGCTGCAGGAAGCAGCTTACTAGTTGCTGCTTCTTATTAATATTTGGGCAAAGAAACATGATCAGAGTGCTGATCTAGGTTGTAACTATTGGGTTTTTTTTGAAGCTACTACTTTACGGAAGAAAGATTTTTATTTTATTTTTTTTCCCAAGAGAGTCCTAATCTTGCAAAACCCTACTATTAGAGGGGTCCTTTCTGTCTTATAATCATGTGAACAAGGGCTGCTCAGCTCAGTAAAGGTTGTAAGAAAGTGGAATGAAATTTTAAAATTCATTAACAGCTGCTTCATACTCTCTAATTTACTTGCTTGTGACTGAATTTTGGCTATATGCGTGCATCTTGGGGGGCGGTATTTATTCTGTGTATCTTTTTCCTTACACTTCGTATTCCTTGCCATCTTTTAGGCACATTCAACCCCTACTCTGCTGATCCACTCCCTGCCAGTCCTAAAAAGCAGCTTATTCTGAAGATCATCAGTGGACAGCAGCTGCCTAAGCCTCCTGACTCAATGTTAGGAGACAGAGGAGAGGTAAGATGCTTTGATACTGACAAATGCTTCCATGAGAGGTCCTGGAGTGACATGGCTCCATGAGACTCAAACCTCCACCTTCTTTAAATACCCCGATAAATTTCAGATGTCAAGCTTTTGGTCACTAAATACTACATTTTCCTACAGAGTCTGTGTCCTACACATGATGTTTAAGAACTGATTTGTTTTGTATTTTGAGGGTGACTTCACTTTTTTGAAACTTAGTCATAGCTGGCCATAGCTCTTGACACTACAAACTATACACCAACTTTTACTTAATGAAGCAGTTTCCCATGATTGTGCTGCTTGAAAATTCATGTGAATCAAAGGTTTTTCAATTCTTATATGAATTTAAATTAACTCTCTGCGTGTTGGGTTTTTTTTTCTAAAAATTGACCTTCACTTGTATCATTTGCTTGCTTTTAAAATACTTTGTTTTTAAAAAATAGATAATAGATCCCTTTGTTGAGGTGGAAATTATTGGGTTACCTGTTGACTGCTGTAAAGATCAGACCAGAGTGGTTGACGACAATGGTAAGATAATCTAGCTGATTTCCTTTTCTTAGAGTAAAATATTAAGTAATTAGAAGTGATTTGATATCTGTTATTACTTTCTAAATTGCAAAGCTTCTTACCTGATGAAAGCAAATTATTGTATTTTAACAAATTAATTCTGCTTTCTAGGCAGAATTTCTGGTGTGGGGGGACAGACAAGCTAGAGGTGAAGGACAAGAACTGTTCACCACAATGTCTTTCTCCTGGGTTGTTCTTAAATCTCCTTTATGCAGAAATAAAAAAAAAATATATTTTTTAATGTATATAAAATACATGTATAACTTCAAATGCAATGAAAACAAATCATGTCCTTCATGGGAAGGAGAGGAGTAACAGAGTGGGATAGCAGCAGGAGGGGTGCCCATCAGTTCTCATAGGCAGTTGCAAAACCACGGGGGCAAAAGGTAGTTCCTGTTGGTTTTGGTCTATCTTTAGCCTGCCATAGTTCTGCAAAACACCAACTTGCCTTGGTATCCTTGGCAGCTACCCAACCAGAACCATTTTGTTTGTAAAAGCAGTCCAAGAGACAGATCTCTCACTTTTAATTGCTTACATAATGGAGGTTGAAAGCACCTATATCTAGATGAGCAATAAGCAATGAGTATTCATTTGTGTATTTGGTCTGCTTGTTTCTTATGCCTCTTGCATCATGAGAATTGAGGCTAGCGCTTGCTGTGGACTTGTTTCCCAAAATTTCTGTTCTGTTTGTTTTGCAGGGTTTAATCCTGTTTGGGAGGAAACACTCACTTTTACCATCCACATGCCTGAAATAGCTTTGGTGCGATTTCTTGTTTGGGACCATGACCCTATTGGGAGAGACTTTGTTGGACAAAGAACTCTGGCCTTTAGCAGTCTCGTGCCTGGTTAGTCCCACTTGTTGTCCTTGACTTAGAAATCTACGCTGAAGAACAAACAGCTTTGAACTTAAAGTTTAAGATGAGGTTATCAGCATAAGATATACACTTTTACCTCTGAGACTTCTTGTATGAGCTTGGACAGTTCTCCTGGTACTTTAGGGTGGTATGTTCACCATTATTTGAAGGAGTTTTGGTGTCTGTGCTTATGGAAATTACTACTTGTGTCCTATTTGTAACTTGAAGGCAATTTGTACTGGGGGCCTTGGAAAACCTGTGAGAACATAAGTTGTACTGAAGACGTAAGGTGGCTTACTGTATGTATTTCACTTCTATAGGCAGTCATTGTCTGTTGTGCGTAAAATGCAACCTGCTGATTGTTTGTGGTGCAATGTTTTTATTTTACTAGGTTATCGTCATGTGTATTTAGAAGGGCTGACAGAAGCATCCATATTTGTTCATATAACCATTAATGAGATCTATGGAAAAGTAAGTATACCTGGACATTTAGATCTTTTATGACTTTTTTTTTTGGTTTAATTCTTCTGATAGAAAATGGATTTAAATGTACCACAGAACCTCACAGGATTTGTGGGGTTTCTAAATGATTCTTACAGCTTATGTTCATGGCGTTTTGTACATTGGATTAGCAGTACCTAGTTCTCTCTGGCACTAATCAGTAATAAAGCTTAAACAAATTATTCAGATTGTACAGCAATGAAAAAGCACAATGTCTGATTCTCTATTGCCCTCAACTTGATGTCTTCATTTGTACCTGTATCTGTATAGGTAGCTACACACACTGCTAAGCATCAGCATGCTCAAGGAAGCAAACTGCAATTCGTTATTCAGAGTGTTTTCTCTGAGGAGCACTGAGCCAGGGCAGAAGGAGGGAGAGCGCTCAGGAGGCAGAAGGGTGTAGCTCATGGGGGGGAGGGGGGGGTTCCTTGTGGGTGATCAGCAAGGAGAGCTCAACGTACTGTTGCCCTAGTCTTAGCGTGCACGTACTTATGAGCGTCCTTACTGTTAGCACCTAGTAATTATCATGTCTAGATACAGTAAGTACATTTCTTCAGTGTGTTTAAATTTATTTTAGAAGTAAATGTTGAGAACTGTAACTGCACCAGAACATGGTATTTGCCAAGCTATTTTTAGCAGCTTTTAGGTTTTGGTGCATACATTTTGCTTTTCTGCAAGATTACTAATTTTAAAACATTTTTTAAACGAAAGTAAAAGCACAGTGCTTTTTCTCTGCGTTTCTGCTTCAGCTGCCTTCACGAGCAGGTTACAAGATGTCATTGTAGATAGCTAGCACAAAGAAATTAAGGCCTTATTCAACAGGATGCTAAAATAAAATAGCCCTTTTTAGTGATTTAAAAAAAACCAACAAACCCAAACAAAAACACCCACAAAACCCACAAATAACCCCCCACCTTTATGAAGGGTATAGGTTGAAAAGAACAGTTAGCCCTCAGTCTTCCTCCTTTCTGTGAGTGGCTGCAGAGAACGTCATGTCAAATATGTTAGCCCGCAGTTCTGTGAGCACCCAAGGAAAGCTCAGTAGAACAGAGAGAGAAAATAACATAGACAGCCTAGGGGCTGTGAGTTGCTCTCGTCCTGATCCTCACTTAACTCCGCTACCGTTATCCTCACTGTTCCCTTTAGATCACCAAATGATCTAATGGCAGCTCTGTGAACCACTCAGATGTCTGTCTCACTCTTGGCATCCTTGTCTCAGCCCCAGAACCAGTGTTTCAATGGTCTCATCTGCTCTTGCCTCCACAAGTGTTTCTCCTTCCAGGGAGGCCAGCAGCGAGGTGCTGGAGGGAACGGCACAGGCCGTGCCAGACCTGTGCGTGCTCTGTGCACAAAGAGAAGCCTTTAGTATTCAAGGTAGACTAAGTCAGAGTGAAAAGAAAAGCAGTAGTACGCAGCTTGGAATGCATCTGAGCTACACACCTAGATTTGCACGCATCTGGGTACGTGTGTGAAATCGCGTACGGTTTTGGTGACAGGGGACCCTGTGTGGCTATTGCTCTTGGCTCATGTGCTCTTCAAAGAAGAAATATACTCAAGAAAAATAGTAAAGAGTAGCTTCATAAGGAAGACAAATGAAAGGGTGCAGAAAGATCCATTGAGATTTGATGTCTGTGTCAGTCTGTTCATCTAATGCTTGCCTTAACGATGAGCTGTATTGTTGTTTCTAACATAGAAACAAAGGCTGAATGCACATTTGCGTCCGTGTAAGTGAGGATGTATTTGCCAAATGTATTTGCGTTTTTTTGCCTTTCAGTGGAGCCCTTTAATCCTCAATCCCAGTTACACAATATTGCACTTTCTAGGAGCCACAAAGGTAGACTTCATTAGCATGCACTTTGCGCTTGCTGGGCACAGACTTTTCGAATGGTTCCTAATCGCATGATCTGCAACTACCAAACTTACATCATTCTTCATTCAGGCTCTGAAACATTTGAATATTGCTTTGATGAAGCCCATACATAAAACTCCAAGTTAATGTGTAGCCTGTCACTGCAGTACACTTCTTACAGTCTTGTCATGTCTGATTAGGAGACTTTGAGCAAACCTCTCTTGTAATTGTGTCAGGCTGCCATCCTAATGAGGAGAAATACAGACATGCATGAATTCATGGAGATCTATGCTGATAGTTCCTTGGTCAGAGTAGATGTGAATTGCTTGGTGTGAATTTTTGCTTTGCTGCATTTTTAACTTTGTCTTCATCATTCATAAATACTCTGAAAGCAGCCCTTTTCATTGTACGTGTTATATAACAGTATGAACTCACTCGAAACTGTGGTTATTCTTGTCCTTTCAGAATAAGCAGCTGATAGGACTCAGAGGGTTGTTTAACAAGAACCCTAAGCACAGTTCCGCTGAAACCAGCGGGCACTATGTACGGAAGCGATCTATTGGTGATCGAATTCTCCGGCGCACAGCCAGTGCACCAGCAAAAGGTAGAAAGAAAAGCAAGATGGGTTTTCTGGAAGCTACTGAAATTAAAGACAGTGCATCTGAACCAATAGACTTGAAAGACAAAGAAGGAGTTGTAAGGCGCACAAGCCGGAGTCTGCAAGCACGTCCTGCTTCTATGCCCGTGGACAAATTTCTTCTTGTAGGACTGCCATGTCCAGAAGATGAAACTACCCAAGATGCCAAAGGAAAAGAAAATGCATCCGGTAAGATGCTTCCATAATTACTTTTGATGTAGTAAGTTGAAATAGTCTATTCAAAGGCTTAGTTCTGCAGTCTCTATGCAAGTAGTTTTCCTCGACTCTAATGAGAGTTACTGGGCAAAATTACATATGCTTAAGATTGCAGATTTTAACAGCTCCTTAAATCTTTGATAAGTGACACCCTGGAAAGCTGTTTACTCTGCAAACTAGGCAATTGAATTACAATGACTTCTGGAAGTGGTTTTAAAAGGACACTCGCCAAATTTGTTTTCATAATTTAAGAACCAACTTTCAGTTGTGCTTCATCAGTTTCTGGTTTGCTCCTGTCCCTTTCTTATGGAAACAGAGCTGCTGGCATGGTGGGTTTTCCTTCCTCACTTTCAAGGAGGAAGAACAGTATACAGCATGTTTTTGAAAATAGTGTGTGTAAAGACTAATGTAGACTGTCAAATAGATATAAAAGGGATAAAAGTAGGTCAAACTTTGTATCCATCAGTCTTGATATTCTCCTCCTAAATTAATCACATTAATTAACCTAGATTACATTGTTAGGATAAAATCTTGGTCTTATATTATTGATACACAATACAATTTAATTTTTAAAGTAGCTGTTTTCTAAGTGTGTTCAGCCAGTTATTCCCATGACTACAGCAAAGTTACTGTGTTTGACCCTCCTAATATTTGATTTACTGAAATACTTAAATAAGTCTAGGAAGCCTTGAATACAATGGCTGTAAGTCATTAGACCTGCTGTCTCCACCCTGAGCTGATCCCTAGTCTAGGGCCTCTATACTGCTGTTTGGGGCTGGTTTTTGTTTGTTTGGGAAGATCGTGTGCACTCACACAGGCTGTCCCCGAGAGGCTGCAGGGCTAGCCACGTCCTCAGCTTCTGGTGAGTTCTGACAGCGCAGCGTTGCTGCAGTTGGTCCCTGAGGGCTCTTCCTCAGCTGGCGCAGGACAGCCAGAAGCACGTCTGTCGTCTTTGGGAAGATGCAGAGAGCACACAGAGAACCTCTTTTGGCCGGGGGCATGACAGAAGTGGTGCTCTGCTCTGGATATTCTCAACTGCGGAGCAGCAGCTTCCACCAGTTACAGGAGCCACCCTAAAATAGGAGAACCACCAGGCACACATGAGAACGTGTTGTTAAGCCACCTTTGTTCTGCTTGCCCATATTAGAGGCTTTGAAGGAACAGATAATCTGGACATCATCTTGTACAAGAAGTTACTTAGGAGAAACAGCAAGCAAAATCAAACCTATTCTTTTTCTACCACCCTGAGAAGAAACTGTAGACAGGAAAAAAGGATTTTCCTAGTAAAGGAAGTGAACTCTGAAATGCTGTATTTTAAGTTGAAAGATCCTCTACATAAGCCTGTGAGATGATACAGCTCAGCCATGCTTCGTAGCAGATGTTATTATTTCTTAGATATTTCTTCCTAAGGATGCTGCAGACGGAGACACAAAATTATTGTAGAACCTGCCACACTTTTTGGAGGTCACAGGTATTCCCATATAGCAAAATAACCTTTACAGAAAACACGAGCCCTGGTGAGATGACTTAAAAAGCTGTCACAGGGAATGAATGCTGCCCCTTCTCACTCTGAGAGGACTAGATCCTGTCCGTTGGAGTTTCTGTAGGCCTTGCTCTGTAACCCCTATGGAGGAGGACTGGCCACCTTAGACACAAAGAAATGAGACACAAACAAGATGAAATTCCAGCTGGAGTCCTCCTCTGTCCCTGAGGGACCTTCTCCCTTCTATGCTGCAGGGCCATCCATGGCTTAGGGGTGGACATAGAGAACAGCAACTCCTTTTCTATGGAAGCTCTTACCTTGAATCATGGTAAGAAAAGGTACAACGCAGCCTCGTGCATGTACAGGTGTAGGCTTGGGTATTCTCAGAAAGTAAGTTCAGCCCAAATGTTTCAGACTGGGAGGTGGCTTCACCCTCGGGGACATAGTAGTCAGATAAAGCATTCGTTGCTGCAGGGTGCCATGAAGAACGGAAAAGGCTGGCTGTCCAGCAGAGATCTTTCCTGCTAAACTACTCTGGCTGAACACATCTCTACTGTCTCAATTGGAATTAGGCCCAGTGGACAGTGTGCTGTCCATTTCCTCCTCTGTTCTTTATAGAAAAAAAAGTACACCTCTTCCATCCTTATGTGGGAGCACTGGAAAGCTTGGGGAACTATTCAGATTTTGGAGACCAGCCTTTAATGTCATGTTTGTTAAAAATAGCTCTTACTGTGGCGGGGGGTGGGGGGGGGGGGGGGGTTCAGGCACTGTCACGGAATGATCAGGGCTTCTCTTGTTTCTTCCTAGGCTACCTGATTTCTAGCAAATGTTAGCAACAGTGTATATCATCCCAGGCTTACTTCTGTAGTCCCTGCTTAATTAAAAGCTCCAAAATAGTGAGTCACGGAGCTCAGATTTGGCATATAAAGACAAGTAAGATTTGGTGGAGGAAATACCCAATGCATATTTATCATGGAATTCAAACTCTTGCTCTCATGAATACTTGTAGAAGATCAAAAATTAAATCCTTAAATTGTAACATTTTACCATAACTAGATGTGAAATACAGTCTGGAGTCCATCTGCTTGATGCTTTTTACTCGGCTCTTTTCAGCATGCATCTTGTTTCAAAATATTGTTTTTTAACAGAGCTGTTTTGTTCTGTCTTTATTGCCATGCTTCTTTATAGTACAAATCTGAATAGGAACACAGCCGAAGGTAATACTACGTGCAAGCTACAATATGGTACCTCATTAACATTATTTGCAACAAATATTACATCACGTGCTTGATGTAATAGACATTCAAAGGAAGTTTCAATGAAGTGCCTGCAGTTGTATTTTTCCATTTATTCATATCACACAGAAAATTTGTACTAAACCTGCACAACCCCATAATTAAGTTCTGTCACAACTATACCTAATTTTGCATTCTCCATTTGTCTGTCTAAGGACAAAATAGTTGTTAATAAACAGAACACAATATTGTATGCAACTAATACGTTTCTTATTTAATTTAGCCAACAGTGATGACAATACAAATGAGGAGGAAACAAACATGAAAGAATCTGTTTTCACATGTTCTGAGAAAGCAGCAAATACTTCAAATTTGGCATCTCAATTTAAGAAGAATGACCAGAAGGAGACTACAGTTGACTCTTTAGTACCACTTCTACAGGAGCAACCTGAAGATTTAGTTTTTGCAAGTGGTGTAGCTGAAACGAATCACCTCATAGGCTATCCGCAAAATAATCTTCCTGCTGTTGCTGAAACTGTCCCTCTAATGCAGGACTCCAATTTTGAAATTTCCACAGAAAAAACAAATGGCAAAAACTGTGCAGACAATAAAAAGGAAGATGACACGAAAGGGTCTAAGGAGGAGAAAATAACTCTTGTGGGGTCTGCCCTTTCTCAAAAAGTAAAGATGGAAAATCACAAATATGACATCATCGAGAAAAGCACTGGAGCACCTCTTTCTTTGACAGATATTTCTTCTACCATTTGCTCTGATGTTCCTGATTTGCACTCCACTTTAACCATGCAAGACAGTGACATTTCTCGCCTTATAGATGAAGTTTCTTTAGCGAATGAGAGCGAGATGGATAGCGCTGTCTCAGCTCTGATCGGACAGTTTGATGTCACAGATGACCAAACTAATCTTACCACAGTCTCGAGCCTCCATGGCACTAGCAGCCAGGCCTTCAGTGTGATGGCTACGCACCCACACATGCTTACTGCAGATCTTAACAGTCCCTGTAAGCACAACTTCACTACCACAAAATCCATCAAATCCCCTTTATTCTCAAGTCCAGATACTACCGTGTTCTCTAGCCCTGAGACTGCAGAGTATTCTGTGTACACAATTATCCATGAGGCAACTCTTACACCAGCTTCTGAATGTAAGATCCACAGTGAATTAGTTTGCAAGAAAAAGTTAAATAGTGTACAAAACAACTCGCCTAGCTCTCCTTGTCCTTCACCTCTCTCTTTGCTCAATGGAAATCCCAAAAGGAAAAGTGGACCAAAATGTGGACCAAGCTGGGAAGCCCCCGAGTCTGCCAGTTCTTTTGCTTCCAATGGCCTCATCTTTGAGGAGACGCTTGTTGACCCTCCCACTGGTGAAAACTCAGAAAGCAGCAGTCTTGTAGAAGTAGATGGGGATTGTCAAGATCTCTTGGTAACTGCATGCGAGTACAAAAGGGAAGACATGAGCCAGTTGGCTTCCCCTTTAAAACTGAGGCAAAAGCAGGACACTGGGCACAGTGGTGAGAGAACCTCTGGGAGCAGTGCAACTGTTGAGCTCTGTGCTTCTGCCTTGGACTGCTCGGGTCACTTCAGGACCGCAGGGAGTCAGCTCCCTTTTCCAATGTATGAAAATGTTGGCTTTTTATGTCATCATCATTCAGATAAGCAGGAAAACGTAACGTGTACCTCTGAGAGATCCCAGCTCAACATACACTCACCGGTGCTCAAAAATGCTTTGGCTTTCCCACCTCATCCAGCCATCAAGCAGACTAGCCCTTGCAAATCCAAGAGTCTTGGAGACTTGACATCAGAGGATATTTCCTGCAATTTTGAAAGTAAGTATCAATACATAAGTAAGAGCTTTATCTCATCAGGCATGAGAGACAAGAAACTTGCTGCTATGAAGAGTATGAGACCACATTCTACGGATGCTCTGACGGAACAGCTGAGGAAGCTGGTGTCCCTGGACCAGGAGGAGAGCCGTCAGACGCTGTGCTCCAGGCAGACTGATGAAGACTGCCCGAAGGCGCTGGTCAGGAAACTCTCGTCCAGAAGCCAGAGCAGGGTGCGGAATATCGCCAGCCGTGCCAAGGAGAGGCAGGAGGCGGCCAGCAAGCAAAAATCTTCTAACACAAGTAGTGTAGCGGGGGTTGTCCTTCGGAACAAGCCTTCGGCATCTCCTCACGTTATCAACAGGCATTCAACAGGCTCGTACATAGCCAGGTACCTGAATGGCTTCCCTGGGGAGGACGTGGAGGGCCGAGGAATACCTGAGGGCGCGTGCGCTGCTCTGCACTACGCCTGTAGCGACCGGTTTTATACGCATGATTCTGTTCTGCCGCTGGAAGCCAGTAGTGATGATATTGTATAAATGTACATCTTCAATGTTTACAAACTATTTCATTGAAATGAAGGATTTTTAGCAAGAAATACTGGTTTGAGGGTTTAAATTATTTAGAAATGCAATTTCATTGTAGTGATTCAATCATGATTTAATGTGCCCTTTCCTGTCAAAGCTTATGTAAATAGAAACCATGTTCCATCCTTCTGTATGTATTACTTTGATTTAGGAATTATGAAGTGAAGTAGTCTGGGGACTATTTGCATGCAGTAAGCATTTGTAGCATTTTATATTTGTAATGCATGTCATTTTTAAGTCGAGCACATCTGTGCTCAAAAGCCTAACGTTGCAATGAATACCATAGTATTCTCTTTTCCTGATGTCCTGTCCTGCTGTTTGGAAAAACACTTTTAGTGATCACTTTCGGCCTTTTGTGCAAATTCTGCTAAGCATAGTGCTTTCCATTATTGGTAACGTCCGTGGGATTCGACTGCTGGACTTGGACTCATTCTGCCCAACAAGCAGCAGTCTCAGAATGAGACTCTTCGTTACCATCACTGTTTTCACTCTGACTTCTGCTTAACTGTTAATATGAATTTTACATGTTTCCATGTATGAACTATAATTCTACAGCAAACAATTTGTAGAATTAGGGTTAGCCCAAATTTGTGAGTAATGTGTAGATTTGTCTTCTGCTCACTCTATGATGTATGATAACAGTTGTCTTCCTTTTTGGTCACCGTGTGGAGTGCTCACTTCAGGTCAGAGTGGAATGTGGGAGTAATTCTGCATTTATGAATGGAAAACAATTTCTGCATATTTTGTTATGTATTTTTGTTATTGGTTGTGTGTGTAGCTTCAGTACAGTAGCAGATCTGTTTCTGTATATTTGTAATTTTATTGCTAAGTTGTTGACAGTCAGTGGACGATTTAAAGCTGACATGGTAGAGTAACTATTTTGACTGTCCTTCATCTTTTTCTATGAACGCTGAAAGTGAATTGAGTGAGTAATCTCAAACACCTGAAACTTCCCTGTAGGGAACAACATAGCTTTATTTTGGATTTAAGATATTCTTTGCCTTTGCTGTAAGTTTTTTCTTATATGTAAAAGACATACCTTTTACCTCTTTCTTTTGTAATGCAGAGTATTATTATTCTTGAAAACATCATTAAAATAGATTTTTAAGCACTTGGTTACATGTTTACTGAAACTGTAGTAAATACAATTATGCTTAAACTAACAGTAGTTAGTGATTGCAGACAGCTGTCTTGTCATGAGCTTGCAAGAAGGTATTAGAAAGGGAAAAAATTCTGTCATTTCACATGATGGTGATGGTTCTTAGCTAGAAATTTGCAGCTGAGCTCTTTCTTTTCTCTGGATAGGAAGCCATGGTTACTGAGCGTGTCTAACTGCCTGCATATTCCCATTTTATGCCATTAAGGGTCTAGCAGATGCAACTGTCTATTGTTTCGATCATGTGGGAGAGAACAGCGTATTTTCTAAGTAAAAAGCATTTTTCCGTAGGGGAACAAAACCAGATACTGGATTAATCCCTTAGGCTTTGGACCTGAATTTCTATCTCCATCCTTGTGATACAGTTTGGAAGGTGCAATTGGAGCCATCTCTAACTTCAGGGAGGTTCAGAAGCTCTGTGCCTTGGAGTGTCGGAGCTTGGGCCAGTACTTCCTGAGAGAGAGATGGTTTCAACTTCCAACTTGCCTGTACTTTGTCTGCTGTGGTAGTTTAGAGGCACTTTCTGAGGTAAAGAGTAGATGTGTGCAGGCTGTGATCAGGTCTGCTGAATGCTGCGTGCCGCTGGTGCTCACACACTGCATTCAGGCACATTTACTTGTATTGGTAGAACCTGTGTGTTCTTTAGAAATAACTGCCATTACAACTGTTTTGTAATTAAGCAGATGATACTATCTCCGTCGCAGGAGATGAAAAAACTAATCTTTGCTTGAAGGCTGTTTCTAGCTTTGATTGGAATTAATTTAGAAAAATTGTATGGTGTGTGCAGGAGGTCAGAGTAGATTATTACAGTGGTCTCTCATGACTTATCTTGTATACTTTCCTCTTAACTTTAGAAGTTAATTCAGATGGGGACAGTTCTTTGTGTGAAAGTGAAATTTGAATAGTGAAACAGGGCAGGATTTCTATAGTGTAGACTCAAACCAAAGGAAGACCTGGCTCAGGAGTTTTTCCTGTCTCACTGGTCTTAGTGGTGTTTTTTCTGCCTCTCTGATTCAAATTATATTTTGTTTGCACAAGTTTCTTCTTGGTGGTGGAGCATTGGGGTGTGCCAAAACCTTCTAACTCCTCAGTGTTGGAATAGTCTGAGCCTTGAAGAGCTGGAGTCGGAGTATTCGACATGTTTGAAGGTCTTGTGGTCTAGCTCAGGTGAGAAGGCAGAGAGTTCTTGTGTCAACTGCCATGAATTTCTGTTCCTGAGTAATCTGTAGGGCAGTTTGTGGGCCTGGATGTTGGAAACTGATAAGAAGGGCTATTTTTATGTCTGTTTGCTAAGGTGATATTATAAGAGAGAAGTTGTCAGTCTGCAGAACTTTAATATTGATAGGTTGTATTCAGAAATGGATTTGGTCCTTGAATGTATGTCTTCAGTGCATGAAGAAAGCATGAAATCACAAGTGGTCACTATAGGAGCATGAAGATACCTGTGTTACCAGCTACGTCTGCACAGAGAAGCTTTATGATGCAATTATGTCTTTTGAATATTGGAAGCAAGCGTTCTGTATAAAATGTTTGAATTAGGGAGAGGTCTAAGCTGAAGTCAGAGACATTGTCTTTTGCTGTTATGTTCATAATTATAAAAGAAAAAAGATTAGTAGTAAATGTAAAGTACTAAAAAAATCAATGGTATTATTTTGTGCACATAATACATTTGGATTAAATTTAGTATTTTGTATTAAAGCAAGTGCACTAGGTGTCTTTACAAGATAACCGTTTGACCATGTCTCTCTCTCTTAATTTACTAGAAATGGAGAGCGTTCAGATTCTGGAAGGAAGAATTTGAGACGCAGAGGAGCAGTGTCCATACTAACCTTGCAGAGTAGGCAGGTGAAGAATTCTCCCCGGGACTGACCTCCCTTCTGTTTTCCTGCCAGCTGGCGTAGGGCCCAGTCCACGTGCAGTCCTGTTTCTCTTTGTATACCAGGTCAGAAAGTATGTCTAATCCCCAAAGCCACTGGGGCTACTCCTATACTTACTGATAAGTGTCCAGTTAAGGTCTTCACAGAATTAGGAACTGTTCTATAAGCAGATGTCAAAGGTGCTTGAAACCTCAAGTTAAATTTCTGTTTCTTTTCCAGATGAGATTGTGTATAAACAACAATTTATCCTTTCCTTAAAGCTCTCCATATTGCTTCTGAATCCGGAACTTACAAATTGTAATGCAGGGCAAGGACAAAAGATGGAACAGAAAGGTAGAGACATTGTTTATCTGATAAACTATTAGTACTTTTTTGTGTGCTAAGTGGGAGGTTAAGATGGAGATGCGCAGACATCGGTCTTCAGTGAAGTCACTTGGTGTGAACCCATTGTCTTAAAGATGTGCTGCATTCCATACTGGGTTATATTTTCACTTCCAATGGATTTTATATCTATTCAGGATTTCTATTCTTTCTCAGTTTTTGGTTTAACCGAGCTTCATTTTCTTTGATGGAATGGAAGGAATAGAAACAAAAGTACATTCCTATAGTGATGAGAACCGTAATGAGTGTACGATACCCATCTGTTGCAGGCAGTGTCTCTTTTCTAAGTATTGGGCCAAACACATCTCTGGTATAACTATAAGCTCTTATCAGGGGAGCTAGACTGGGGATAAATTTGCCTTATTAGGTATAAACTTTTTGGCATTGTTTTGGTTGAATACCACTCACTTTTTCTGTGAAATTCTGGCATAAACTTTACAGTGTGGCATACTCGGTCTGTGCGTGCCTCTGGGAATCGCTGCTGCTGCTGTGTGCGCAGCAGAACGCAGCTGTGTGAGGGCGTAGGGGCTAACAGCCGCTGAGGCTGGGCTCGCCGACTGCCGCACGGTGGGCTGGGGATCAGGCTAGTTCTCTAACTGCCCATTTCCAGAAGGAAACGGCAGCCTCTTTGGGATGCCTTTGTGAGCCTGGAAGCACGCTGCCAGTCCAGCGGCTCCAGTGGTGATGTTCCCATCGTGAAGATGGCCTGACCTATCTGAAAACTGCTGGTCCTCCCATGTCTGGAGGATGATGCGGTTTCACTGGTGGGTATTGGTAATACGAGCCCAGAGCTGGTGTGATGTGACATAGTCGTGGTCTAATGTGGTGATACTCTCAAAATTATAGAAAGCAGTTTGTCTCATTGAGAATTTGTGCTGCAGAAATGATTGCGAAGAAAATCTAACCTGGAGGTAATATGCTTTATACAGCGATGCTGAAACGTGATGCTGAGAAACAGTAGGAATGGTACAGTTTTGGAAAACTAAGACTGCTTGCTTCTGCCTTGTGTATTGGATAATAAAATGAAGGGACACTATCAAGAAATCTAAGCGCTTTCTGAACTCTTCTCAGTCTTTAAACCTCTGTGAGCATCTGGTACATAGATTACAAGAAGCATTATATAGAGCTAGGATTTTTAGATATATGGATAGAACAGACTAGCAATCTGCAATTCAGATATCAATAAGGCCATTCATTTTTCAGTCCTTCCCCAAAATTAATTAAACTGTGTATGAACAAGGCTGCAGCTTTTTGAAAATCCATCTAGGGAAGGCTTTTTTGGTGCAGAATATGTTGCAACTTATTCCAATGCTGATTACTCTCAGTGCTTAAAAAAAACCCAAACTTCTGGTTGATGTTTGTCTAGCTTCACTTCCCAGCATGAAACTGTTTCATCTGACTGCTCACTTGAAAGGGCTCTTACCACACGAGTTTCTCTCTCATAAACATGAAGTCACAGCCTTCTGTTTGACATCCTACATGAATCAAACCCCTGAAGTCTCTCTTTAAAATATTTCATTTGTTCCTGGAGGTCTCCT